GGGAACCAGGAGCCTCTGGGAGACCAGAAGTTTTAGAAAGAGATTAAGAACCAGTCTGCTGCTGCTTAGAATCTCAGCTGAAATCCCAAGCCAGCAGAACAATCTCCAGAGACCTAGAGTTTAGAGGGAGAGCTGAGAGCAGGCAGCTCAGCAGCAAAGTTAAAGAAGTCACTAGCTGCCCCCTGAAAGCAGCAATAAGGTTTAGTCCCCACCTGGGACCCAAGGGACAGAGGCCCAGGGAGAAAGCAGGAATCTTTTTCCATACCCTGTATTTGTCTAAAGATGTTGGTTTGTTATTAAACAAAATTAGAAGGATTCTAAAGATATACATTTCCCCCCCCCCCATCTTTTATACCCAAAGATTCCTTCCCATTACAACAGTAAAGTTAGTGTGCTTCAAGGGAGTGGCTGAGCCCACGGTTCTGGAGAGGATGCGGTGGTGGGGTTGGGTGTGAGGACGGAGAAGCATAGGGTGTAAGTGTCTAGAAGTCTAGAGAAAACTTTTAGGGGAAAAATGCTGGGTTCCCTGGAAATTGGCTCAAGGTAGCACTTAATGAATGCTGATTGCATTATTGTTACTTTTTTCAATAAATTTTCCAAGGACATATACTATATAGTATTTGAGGTATAAAATAAAATGTGGTAACTGATCCAGTAGTAAAGCTAAAACTGTAAACAGTCAATGCGGGTCAGATCTCATTAAAATTATTCACGAGGCCCTCAGGTTGGTACACTGAACCCTGGGGAAGGGGTTAGGGAATTAAGGAAAGGTTTATAAATGAGATAACTTTGCATACTGAAAGATATATAAGTACTTGCCATGTGGATGGGCTTAGGCAGGAGGCATGGAGTACTGATGGCAGAGAGCTTATTTAAAGAGATGAAAATGTTCCTGTAACAACAAAGCATAGGACTCAAGGGGAGACACAGAAAGAAAACGCAACTGGGTTGTCAGGCAGGCTCTGAAGGATGAAGCTCAGTCCTTCCAAGTAGTTGTAGTTAAATTTTCATGAATTCAAATGCCAGTTATTAAATGTAGCCATTATTAGCAATTACATTATGTTAACTTTCTCTTAAATCAATTACATTACAAAGGTTAAATACTCAAGGAAAGGCTTAGTTTATTTCGTTACCTCTTCCCATTGCCTATATTTTGACAGCATTTGTTTATTTTCTCTGTGTAGTGCAAACGCTACGGAATGGTGTGCTATGGGCATTGCTTCTCACCTTTGTATTCGAAGACGGGATGGTGGCAATTTGAGGACGATCATCTTGGGAATACGTGTAATGCAATGGATGCTGGCATTGCTACAAATCAGCACCCCGTACCAAGCTAGTTGTTACATATTTACCACCTGTGTGTGGAATTATGTTATCATAAAAAAGAATTCAAAAATTTTCATTGAGAACTGTCAGAATGGCTCACAGTTTCACTTGGGTAATTGTCAGTTGGGTGCTATTTGTGGCAAGAAGACTTATAGGTGGGGTGACACAGAAAGGGGAAAAGATAATAGGCTGGAGTTAACACATTTGGAAGGCCCACAGTCTGAGCTCATTAGTCAGTCAGTTTTATGAGTCTGGAGTTGAAGAGGGAACTCTAGATTGCAGGAGTATATTTGAATCACTTGCACGCAGGTGGTAGTTAAAACCATAAACAGGAGTGATGTTGCTCAAGGTCCTTTGACAGAGGGTGACACATAAGCTGAGAAGTTCAAAGCAAGACGTTCCATGGAAAATGCATAGACAGGGTGCTCTTCGTGAGAACAGAGGATCCAGGACTCCTTTCTGGAAAAAAAAGAGGGGGAGATGAATCAGAAGGGGCTCAGAGAAACTGGTAGGCTCTGGAGCTTCTGTCACAGATGGTGATATTAGTGAAAACCACGTTGTTTTGCTTTGTTTTTGTTTTGTTTTTTAGTAGAAGAATAATAAACTCTAGGCAGAAATCTGAAAGCCTAGGAAAATAAGACATAATGAAAAGGATATTTTCCCCAAATTACATTTGGTTTTTTTAAATGCCTGCAATTTTAGATATATTCTGTAGCTACACTAAGTACCACATCTTTTTATACACCAAGTACTACACACTACATGAGTGTTTTTAATAAATTCTATTGAACTTCTACTTAAAGGGGTTTTTTAAATGTATTTTTTAGTTTTTTTTTTTTTTTTTTTTTTTTTTTTTTTTGTCTTTTTCCTTTTTATTGGTACCAGGGATCGAACTCACGACTGCCTGCTTGCAAGGCAGGCGTTTATGCCGCTGAGCTAAATCCCCAGTCCCTTAAATGTATTTTTAAAGGTTGCCCCTATGTATCCACAAGTTTTGAATCTGAGGATGCAAAATAATTGAAAAATACATGTCGACACTGAACATTTACAGGCTTGATTCCCTAAAGAACAGCATAATAACAGTGATTTGCATAGCATTTGCAATGTGTTGTAAGCAATCAGAGATGATCTAAGTAAGGCACACAGGAGGAAGTGCACTGGTTACTGTGAATGCTCTGCCTTTCTATAGGAGAAATAGGAGCTCTCTTGGGTTTTGATATCTTCAGGGAGAGCTGGAACAACCCCTCTGCGGATATCAAGGACTAACTTTAAATTTTACCTGCCTTATCCCCTCTTCCATCAAATAACAGTTCTTTAACTTTTTTTCTAATTGTTCCAAATTTAGGGAACTTTGATACACTTTGAGGACTGTCTAGGAAGTCATGAGGTGGGCAGATTCTCTTACCTCTTTCTGTGCTTTATGAAACAGCCTTGCCAAGCTCCTCCTTCTCACCTCCACAGGTCAGAGAATGTAGGTGTGTGTCCGGAACTGTCCCAGCTCAACAGATGCAGTAAATTATATTATGGGGCCTCAATTAGCATTTTTTGGTTTGTTTTATTTTGCTTGGTATTTGCCTTATTGTTTTCTATTGCACATGCTGAGGTGGTTTGCAGGGACCGTGCGTGCCTCTTTTAAAGTAATCTAGGCATTCCAAATGCGAGGGTGTGCAGGGTCTGCGGCACACACATGCATTATTCACAAGTTGCTGAATACAGAGCACAGGATCAATTTCTGAAATGAAACAAGGCCTTGAGGGGAAAGTAGAAAAAACACTGCATTTCACAAATTGGATCTTGTGAAGTTTGTGTTATCAATCTCTGGAAAGCTAAAAAAAATTGTTTTGTGAGACAAGGCTTCACTGTGCAGTTCAGACTGAACTCATGGTGATTTTCCTGCCTCGGCCTCTTGACTGCTGTGTGGACCATCACACTTGGCTGAAAGCTAAAATTTTAAAACAGCTTTTTTATCTTTAGGTTGTGAACTCCTATTTTGAATAACGTCATCAAGTAACACTTCACTTTGGGATCCTCCGTCAGGAAGTCAAATGTAGCTCGCAGTAGGACTTTCAGAAGTCCTTTCGTGCTTCCTTTTCTTCCTGTGCTACCCATCTCCCGTGCCATTTGCTTTTGTTCTTCTAAATGTCTTACACTTACCGAGTCCTGTGCAGCAACATAAATGGTGAGTCAGGATGCAAACCCTCTAGTGTCCTTCCCCACCGTTACAGTGCCCTACATGTCCACTATGACTCTCTACTGTGTTCATTACACTTCATAATCCCAGAAAACTCACAGGTGGGGCCTTTTCCTAACAATCTTCATGACTAGCAACATCTAGCAAATAGGCCCTACAATAGCTACTGTTACCCTCTATCAAGTCATTCCAGGGCCACTGATTCCTTAACTTGTGATTTTTCTGTAGTACCCCAGGTAATCCATGCATTGTAACTTTATGGTATCAGAAGTCCCTAAGACTGTCCCCAGGTTGAAGATTTCTGGGGCCTCCAAGCCTCAACATAGTCTACTCGCAGCTATTTTTTCTAAAGCAAAATCAGCAAAGTTCAGAGGTATGTGTGATAAAGTCTGGCAAAGCTAGGTGCAAGTGTCCAAGAATCCTTGAGTCTTCAGAGACTGAGCTTAATTCTTCCAACAATGACCTGTAATACCACAGAAAATTTTGTTCACCATAAACACTTACTGTTAGATTCAGCGCCTGTGGTTTTTACTGGGGGCTGGTCATATAAGTAGTCTACCTAGCACAGACCAAAACTCTGAACTCCCAGAAGAAAAGCAACTGCTCAGCATAAGCCTTGTTTGTAGACAGCTGAGCACAGCGTGAGCTACTTTGAGCAGTTGTGGGAATGGTGGAAGCCCCTTGAAACCCAAGTTTCCCGAGCCAGCAAACAGCTAACCTTGTGAAGCAGGTCTCTAGGGATAATCAACCAACCTGCTATAGAACACTTTTCTGGACAGCAATTGTATCCCAAACTCTTTTCCTCAATGCCTGTACTCATTTCTTAAGTTGTCCTTTGAACCAGGTTTACTATCTGCTGGCTCCCTCATTATGAGTTAAATCTCTGACATATGCTCATTTTATGTGAGTCATGTTGCCAACTTCATAAAAGTTTTACTATGACAGACATAAGCCAACCAGGCTATACAGTCTAGCTAAAATTAATAGCTAAAAAACACCAACTCAATAACATCAAAGCTGATCACTATACAAGCTCATTTTAATTATTAAGAAAAAACCTTTTATACTTGCATTTTTTAAAATCAACTCCATACTTTAAAAGTCTTCTGATTTAAGCAGCTAACACTTGGCTCTTTACGCTTCGGTCTCTTCCTGATGAAAATTATTTCTGCAAGTAGGCATTCATAAAGGAAGCTCAATTTTCTCGTAAGTTTCATCAATCACTATGTAGAAATGCTCATCATTAAAATGAATTTCCCATTTAAATATGACATGTAAGTAAAAGTGTAGAAATACCTCTCCATGTCACTGTAAACATTTGAGCCTTTAGAAAAGAGCTTAGGGTGCAAATATAACACATTCTTACTTTTAAATTTTATTATGCTTTAGAAATTTCTCCAATCATTTCACTTATTTCAACACTTTCTTGTATTTTGCAGCATGTTATTTTACACATTTCCATATATAATGAAAACAAACAAAACCCAAAATACTCAAACTTTATTAATGATGGTAAGTAGGCAGGAATGTAAGAGGTGGGCCAGCTAACATATTCATAAGAAAGGTAAACATCTCTTGAATGAAATATAGGAATTATTTTAATGAAAAAAAAATTAAAGATTGTAGGAAGGAGAAAACTGTCAAAACAGCAGCCAGTACTTTTGTCATAATTCATATTATTTGTGCAGAGCCATCATTAAATAAATACTCATTCGATATTTACAAACAGAGGTAGCAGGGAAAAGCCTAAAGAATCAGGATCTTGGATTTGCTATTTTTTTCAATCTTTTGGATATGTCAGTTTACATACCAAGTAACATGATTCTAGTTAACTATAGTTGAAAGCTTATCGATTAAATCGTCGATAGTGTAAGTAAGAAGCTGTAAGTCCGCCTTTTCCTTCATTCGGTGGTCACTGTCTTTCCGCAGGATGACATCCACGTCTGTGCTGAGCACTCGGTCAGCCACCTGCATGGACGTGTGCCAAGGGACGACGTCATCCTTCAGGCCGTGCAGCAGTCTCACAGGGCAGTTCACAGGGATGGGGCTGTGCAACAGGCAGTGGTGCGCCGCTTCCTGGATGAAACTGTACCGAATGTGGTGAACTCCGTCTTCGTGGTACTTTGACGGCAGGGTCCACGTGCCTTTCAGCTCTGCTTCTTTTTTTACCTATTGAGGAAAGTATGTGTGTACATTAGCACATGCAATAATCCTGGACAGCTTTAAAAAAGCAGTCCCTGAACAAGAGCACTGAGATAAAAGTACAATAATAAGCATCAAACATCAAACATGATGTGCACTGCACGGTCCTGGGGCAGGTACTTTACACACATTGTCTCACAGGTAATAATTCTGCAGCAGTGCTTCTGCTGTTATCCTCTTTTCATAAAAGCCGATACTAAGGTTTAGAGACGTTAAATGTCATCTTCAAAGTTAAAACCTAGAAATGGGTATGGCTAGGAATCGAACTTTTGAGTTTTCTAACTTGAACTACGGCTTCTTAAATAAGGTGTTATTTCACTACAAGTAAAAAGGGAAACAAAGGGGCAGAAAAGTACAATAATTTCTGGAAATCAGTCCAAAAACACTCATATTTGTATCAGCTTAAATCTTAGAATAACAATTGTTTAGATTTTAAAATCAGAAAACTAAAGTACCTATCAAAAGTACCTAAAGTGGACCAGGGGTAGAGAAGGAATCAAGCACAAAGCTAGAAATGAAAAGTGACACAATGATACATATGTTCATGCAATTTTAGAATGACATTTTAACTTCCAGGGTCCTAAGAATGGGAAAGGAAATTCTTGTTTTGTTTTTGATAACAAAAAGGCCTTCCAAATACTTCTGGGATGAAAGATACTGAAAAGTATCTTTTCTACATTTATCTACAAAATGAAACATTACATATCCTACAATCCTTTGACAATTCCTATCTTTTGTTTTGTTTTGGTTTTTGAGACAAGGTCTAGCTATGTAGGTTAGGCTGGTCTTAAATTCACTTTGTAGCCCAAGCTGGCCTCAAACTCACAGCAATCCCCTGTCTCAGCTCCCAAGTGCTGAGATTACAGATGTGCGCCACCATGCCTGGCTAATTCCCATTTTTTAGATTATAACTTATTTGCCTTAATTTTTCTAATTAAAAATTGGAATTTTCTCTAGAAAATTCATATAAATTCTCATGGAAAAATCCAAAAAAGTTTATAAAAATATCATTCCCAATACTACCTCGTGGTTATTACAGCAATTAACATTCTGACTTATTTACAGTTCTATGTAAAAGGGCACTTTTCAGAAGCATAGAGTCAACCTGGTCTCTAGTATCCAAAGAAGATACTGATTAGTGTCAGTAAAGAGGGAGGTCAAGTTCCAAGGCGAGCAACGACAAATGCCATGTCACAGTCTCAAGGTTACACAAGATGGCAAAATCCTCCACTTGTGCTCCTTTGCTATCTTCAGAACTAGCTGACCATGTGGAAAAGAGGCAAACAGTCCCAGCGTCCTTGTGTTTGTTTCCCTTGGCCAGGCGTTTACTCCTGAGTTAACGGGGGTTAAATATGCTTCTGCTAACAACTGCTTTTACCTACTTTAAATTTAACAATTATATGCCCTGGTTTACAGCACATACATCCTCTGGGGTACAGATGTAGCTATTTACCTTTTCCTCTCATGGAGTGACGCAGACATACACATGCAAAAAGAAAAGCACAGATCTTGTCGTTTTCAATAACAAAAAAATCCAAGACTATTAGTATAATAAACTCCCTTTCAATCTGGCATATCCTTGAGTGTAAGAAGAATTACATTTTTAAAACAAGAGGATGGAGCAAAGGATCCAGGTTTAAATGCAGAGGTAATGATGGGAAAAGCAAGAGGACTGAGCAAATGCATATGAGAAAAAGGGGAAAAAAGGCAGAAATTGCAAACAAGCACAAGGAAGATCAGCTTTGTAATTTTAGCAGTGAGAGGAGACAACATGAGGACTCTGACTCCCGATGTTACTTCTTAAGGAGCTGCGGAAATCACAATGCATTATGAATAAACTTAGCTGACACGTGGCCCAGGCTTCAACGCAGAACTCGAGGCGAAGTCAACGACTTTGCTCACCACTACATACTCTCCCCTCCTCTTTTTCTTTTCCCCTCACCGTCCTGAGCTCTCGCTCTCTGTAACTGAGCCTCAAACTTCACCCAGGCACTTGTTAAACCACACACTGCTGGGCCCTTACTCTCCATTTCTGATTGAGGACAAAGCTCACACAGCAGCATGTCTCACAAGTTCTCAGGTGACGCTGACCTTCTGGCCTGGGAATATATTCCTTGAACCAGTGCTCTAGGCCCCCTCCTGTCCCATTTTGTGGTACTGACAAACTTTACACTACGCGAGATTCCCAGTCTTTTTTTAAAATTTGAGAGAGTCTCTCACTAAATCTCTGAACTCAGACTTGTAGCTTCTAGCCACAGCTTCATAGAGTGCTGGAATTACAGGCACACCTGGGTTTAGATTCATTTTCTTTCTTTAATTTCTACACCTCAGGTCACAGGCAAATTAGTACCATAGGTAAAATTTTTGTGTGTGGTGGGGGGATGTTGGGATAAAGTATTGCTATGTAGTTTAGGCTGGCCTTGAACTCACCACGTAGCCCAGACTGGCCTCTAACTTGTGGCAATCCTCTTGCCTAACTGCCAGAATGCCAGGATTACAGGTATGCAACACCATGCCATGCCTGGCTCACAGGTGAAAATTAGATTCCTGGAGAGGGGGACACCTAAGGAGAACTCAACTGATTTTAAAACAAACAAACAAACAAAAAGATAAAAAATAAACAGCTACCGCTCATTATTTCCTTATCTTTGTAGACAACTAAAGTGTTCAAACATGCATTCAATAACAGAGTACAATAATTATCTCCCCATTTATTTTAGGAGCCTCATTTCTATTATGATTTGGTGAAAAGCATGCTAATACTGAAGTGCACATTTTTTTCTTTTAAGATGAAGACTCAGGAGTAGAAAAAGAATGGCAACTGAGCAACTAAGCCAGAAATAGCAAATTTTATTTCCAGTGTGCTAACACTGATTGACTGAGAAAGTCTGCAGACAGATCTGAGAATGCTTTCAGGCTAAATATTTTAGAATGTACTCCTCAGTCTAACATGGTCATAAGAACAAGCACTATCACCCACATGCCACCAAGTAAGAATGAGAAGAAAGAAATCAGGATAATGAATCAAGTGATATAAAATAAAAAAGAAATTGTGAAGTGTGATTATACAAAATGGTTTAAATATTTAGCAGAATGATTTGAATGGGCTATGAAAAAAGAATCTTAAAGGTCGAATAGTTGAACGTGACTGTGTACAAAAGGCAGTTAAGATAAAGATAGGTCCGTGTGGATGATACACACATGTTCAAAGATAGAGAAGGTGGATGACAGGAGTACACACAGATGCCGGTGAAGGGACTTGTGACTTACCTCAACAGGAAGCTGATTAAACCGGGTCACTAGGGTATCTGCAGCTGTAGCTACACCAACAAGAGCCATGACCTTTTCTGGTCGTGCAATTGCAGCATGAAGCATAAGCCACCCGCCAAGGCTAGATCCAACCAGTATCTAGAAATGACAATATATACAGCTTTAAATTGAAATTTCTTTTTTTTTTTTTCCTATAAGGACAATAAGACAGTTTAATACAAATGTAAGTACTTTTTAAAAAATGTTATAGTTCCCAGACTTCTGATATTTGGGACAGAATTTAATTAACATTTTGTTAAACTATCAGGTCTATAATATAAATGACAAGAATAAAGTTTACTTCTTTTTTTTTTTTTTTTTTGGTCTTTTTGAGACAGGATCACACTAACAGTTCAGGCTGGCCGTGAGCTCACTTTGCAGCCCAGGATGGTCTCGAACTTGCAAGGATCCTCCTGCCTCAACCTCCCAAGTGCTAGGAATACACGCAAGTATCACCACACCCAGCTAAAAATTGTTACTTCTATAAAGAGTGAAAATGACAGAAAACTTAAATCAAAATTATCAAAGTTGTTAAACATTTAAAATATTAAGTGAATTTTCATATCTACAATACTTTAAGTATAAGGTTACAGTTAATAATCGTATTTAACAAAAGCAGTCACCTGTGGTCCTACAGCTATATCATCAATTATAGAAAGAATATCTTTTCTCCATTTCCCCACCGTGCATTCTTCTAAGTTACCCTCTGAATTTCCAACTCCTGAGTAATCAAACCTGGAAAAAGGGGAAAATATATATTTATATCTAAATGTTACATATCTATCTATATATTTGCTTCTTTGATTTTTAAGATACTGCAATGCTCATTATTAAATGCCTAAACTATAAACATCAGTCAATATATATTTCTCCAAATCCTGTGAGCTTAGTCATCTAATATCTCTGCCATTCAACATTTGCCTACCTGCTCACTGCTACAGCCTAGTCCAAGTCACTCCCGTCTTCTGACTAATGTGTAAGTCTCTTCAATCTATGTTTCACTTTCACAGGCTAGTCCCCACAGTAGTCTTAAGGATTCTTTTAAAACAAATATACCCTTCAGGAACCTTGCAAAGGTTTTTTATATTTATAAAATCTAAAGTCCTTACCACGTTTTAGGCCCTGCCTACTTCTCTGACCTCAATTCTTTCTGTTCTATCCCTCTTGCTCTCCCAACTGGACTCTCAATTCCCTTCTTCCAACCTAAAAGAATATGACATTCACATGCCTGCCACACTAGCTTTCCCCTCTACGAGGAACACCCATGTCCCGAGATCCACTTAGACTGCACCCTCACTTCATTTGACCCTTTGGTTCAAATACTACATTCCTACAAGTCTTCTGGACCATTCAATCATAACATTGTGCTGCTTTTATCATTCTCCTTTTCCTTATTTCGTTCCATTTTCTTCCTAGCACTTATTACTATTAGTGAAAGACATTTCTTTGTGGCCTGCTCCTTGTCCTAGAATAGAAACTTTCAGTGCCTGGATCAGTACCCTGCAAGTGTTAAGTGCTGAACAACGGGAAGGAAGGAGACCAGAAATTCATCATGAAGGTGTCTAACTCCCCTTCCAAATTCTCAGGTATGCAGGTCGTACAAATACTGCCTGATTTGTGAATTCTACCTCTCCTGCAAGGTCTCAACTCAATGAACATGAAATACCATCTAATGCCCACAGGCCACCCTAACCCTATCATAACGAACTACTCCTAATTCTCAGAGAAGCCCTTGTAGAACTTTGAGCCTCTACACAGTGTTCCATTGCCAAGAAATTCTTCCTTCCCCAACTAAACTCCTAGGGGTCATGTCACCTTCAGCAAACTTTTCCCATTTAGTGCTAGGTACTTTCTTCTGTATGAACTGGGCATTTTTCATATTGTGTGTTGCAATGGAGTTTTAAATGTCTCTGTCCCTTTGACTAGACTACCAGATCATCAAGGGCAGATAGTTTAGGCAAGTTTGTTTACCCAGAACACAATGCTGCCTGCCCTATATCATCGCCACTCATTCTCTTTTCTTTGCATATTTATTCTTTTACTTGTACTTTGACAGGGCCAGTATTTTGATGCTGGTCTTTGTGATCTTAAATGAAGATTATCACAGTGTCTGCATGACTCTGTCTCCCAATGAATCCACTTTATACCTGTTGGTCATTTTCTTGAAAATTATTTTTTGGCTTTATCTTCAATGGCTCCCTGCAAGGAAAAACACTAAAGCTTTACCCTACTGTTTAAGAACAGTATATTCTGCTCATCTCATATTGATCTTTTATCACTTATCAGAGGGAACTACAGTGCTGTGTTAGCCAGCTGATTAATCTGTGGGTCACCTGGTATGCGTTCTCTATCATCTTCTTTACAAAGTGTTCTCTTTCAGAACTTAGCACAAATAAACCTTTTTGGGAGAAAGACATCCTCTGTAGGTTGAAAATACCTTTCCCTTATGAAACCTGCACAGAATTTGTCAGTCACAAGCAATTTATTCTAGCCTGCTCTCTAGGAGGGAGGGAGGAAGATGGAGAGGGAGAAGGGGAAGGGAAAGATAGAGGAAGAGTTCATTCCGGTGAGCCAGGCAGATCCTGGAGGAGAAACACATCTTTTAATGTCTCTGTGTTCTTCATAGTGGTTAGGCATCACTTCACACTGACAATAGTAACATCACTAAATACATTAGAAGACTAAAATAAAAAACTTTATTCAAAATCCAGCTTTCATATTTTTCTTATTCTTAAAATCTAGTGAAAACTAATGAATCCCAGTATTTTTAGGTTATAAGAAAGGGTATGTGATATACGGTATAAATGCATTTCCTAAGACATAAGGGATTTATAAAGTGATAAAGGAAAATGAAATTAAAACTGTCTTTAGGTTTGAAGTGAATTGATTTTGGATCCTTGGGATTAGAATGAGGTTGCTGCTGTAGTCTAAATCAATTATTGATTTTCCCTCAATTCAGTGTATGTAAAGGACAAACTAAGAAGGGAAAGAGACCAGTTGATTTCATTTTTACCCTGATTGCAGGTTACATGGATACTGTTAAATATAGCATCTTTTGCAACTTCCAAATAGACAGTGAGGGTGCAACATACTTACAGAGTTCCTTCATAAAGAAAAACACAGGTGTACTTCAGAAATACTGCACGTTCCATTCCGGACCACCACAAAAAATGGAATATTGCAATAAATAGAATCACATGAAGTTTTTGGTTTCTCAATGCATATAAAATTGTATGTGGTCTACCAAGTATGCAATAATATGTGTCCTATAAAAATTAATACTTTAACATGTTCCCACTGGCTTGAACCACCAGTGGAACATGACTGACTGTACCACTGGCTGGGCCAGTGGGGCAAGCTGCCTAACGGTGAGACATCCGAATTATGTATGTACATGTTAAAGATACTTTACTGCTAAAGTATACTAAGGAGCATTTACTCAAGTACTAATCTTGCTTGATGCAGGATTGCCATAAATTTCCATCTTGTTAAAAAACTCATTATCTGTGAAAACAATAAAGTGAAGTACAGGCATGCCTTGATAAACATGCTAACAGCTTCTAAGTAAAAATAGAGAAATAGCTCACCCTTACTGGAAATTAGTCTTTAAACAAAAGATACTTAATTCAAACACATTCAGCACTTTTTTAAGATTTCTAACCAGTAACACTTCTCCAGGGTCACAGTCCCAAATTAAATATATTAGAAATAATCCTGAGAATACTGACTTTAAATGCACATGCTATATTCTTGAACTCTGACTCAATGTTATTTTAGGCACGGCAATAAGACATTAATAAGTCATTTTCGTAAGGCCATATGTACTAATTCTTGTACATTAAATAACCAACTCATTGTTCAAGATGTAAATTTTAATAGCAAAAATCAAAAAAGTACACTGAGAAACTGGAAAGTATGTAGATAGAAGATCAAATCTCATAATAAGCAAAAATGAAATCAGTAACTAGTTCTCTTTCAACTAACCACACCCTATTTTAGCAAAATTTACACACACAAAAAATCACCACAAAAGTAAACTGAGAAATTAGAAAATATGTAAAGACAAAACCTTGCATAATAAACTAAAATGAAATTAATGGTTAATAGTAATTAGATAGCAATGACCCTAAATGATCATTATAGACAAAGCTAGCAACAAAGTGAATAAATTATTTTACTAAAATAATTGTTTTATGAAACACCAGAAATTGTAAAATTAAGCTTCAGTTAAACAACATGTATTCCTATTTATGTTCATTACTCCTATTTATGTAAATTAAATTACATGAGTAGAAGAAAACTCAGCAGAAATGTGAGTTACTATCTAATTTTATGACATTTGTTTTGTTTTGTTTTGTTTTGAGACAGGGTTTTGTTGGAGTCGGTTGAAGCTGAACACACATGCAGAGCTGTGGCATGGCCTGGGCATGGCTGAACTAAGAATGAGGTGACCCCTGACGGGGGCAAGATAGGCCACAGCTGAGGCCACGTGGAGACTTTCTGGAGTTTTTTCCTTAATTTGCATCATCTGTTGCTCAGAGGGGTCCTTGAAACCCTCCCGAGATCCTGCTCACATTTCCTGTGTTTTCCACTCAACTCCTCCCTTGTTTTAAATAATACAAGCCACCCAGGGACAGTCAGTCGGTCAGCTATCAGAGTTACGAACCGAACTCTGCAAAAGATTTTAATGCTCCTGGAGTCGTAAATATCACGCCTCTTGTCTCATTCCTTTGGGCCTTCGCCATGCACTTGTTTGGGGACTAGGGATCTAGGCACAGACCCCAACAGAGTTTTACTATGTAGTTCCTTATTCAGGCTGGGCTTGAACTCACTCTGCAGTTCAAGCTGGCCTCTAAGTCAAGACAATCCTTCTGTTTCACCCCTGATTGCTGGGATTACAAGTGTGTGCCACCACACTCACCTTTTATAATGTTTTTTATAATACTTTTAAATATATATATTACGTTACAAATTTTGTGTGAGTGTGATGCTGGGGATCGAACCCATATCCTTACGTAACTCACACATGTTTAGTGTATATTCTTATAGCCCTAAATATGTATTTTAGAAGGTGGTCAAATATACCCTTTATCTCCAATGAAAACTAATACAATGACAACAGAGTACAAGAAAGTCAACTGTCTTTATTATACGTGGAATATCTTAAGAATTTAGTCACTATGAGTTTCCTTAAGATGCCCTTTCTTGTCAGTGTGGCACAGGACATTTTAGAAAGGTCTTTTAAAGGGTACTTTTTTTTTTTTTTTTTTTGTCTTTTTCATTTTTATCGGTACCGAGGATCGAACTCACGACCGCCTGCTTGCAAGGCAGGTGCTTATGCCGCTGAGCTAAATCCCCAGCCCTTAAAGGGTACTTTTACAATGATCCTATATCACAAAATGAAACTTTACAGATCATTAAAACAAATGAGTCTTAAAGTGCTGACATTTGCTTCAATTGGGGAGAGCAGGAGTTCACCACTTGTCATGCTAAATGAGAATAATAGGTCCTCTGAAATGTGTGGTTCCTACCTTATATAGGCATGCCCTAGAGATTTGCAAAATTCCTCAATCGCCAGTGCTTTTGTACCATTCATGTTAGAGATGTAGCCAGGGATGAAGATAACTCCTGGACTTTTGCCGTTTAGCCTCTTATAAGCCAGTTTTGGAAGATCTGGTCGATTAAGGAAAGAGAATGATGTCTTTTGTCTGCAAACTAAACAAAGTACAAAGAACATACATTATAGTTGGCACCTAGTTTTTGGGAAAATCATATATTTCAAACTTTCTTAACTCATTGGGTTAAAGTTAAATTCTCTTCCCATTTCATAGGAAAAATACAATTAGACTCAAATTTACATACTAAATTTACAAGTCTTTGCACGAGGTCTTCAGTTTTAAAATTTTGTCAAAATTAGTTACTTTTTAAACCAATATTCAATCTTCATTCTTCCAAAATACACAAGCAGAGGGCCAGAGATATAGCTCAGCAGCACAGGTCCTAGGTGTTAACCTAACAAGATCCTGAGTTGGATTTCCAATACCAAAACCCCCCCCAAAACAAAACAAAACAAAACACAAAATACACCATGCAGCAGAAATTCCAAGGCACAAGAGACACTGATTCATCAAAAAAATATTCTACTGTGGCTGCTATATTATTTATCCTAAATAGAATCAATCAAAATTCAGATTTAACTGTACTAGTTTCAAACCTCTCTTGTGAGATTTTGGTTTCTTTTTTGTTTGAGGAGTTTTACATCCTGTACTTTCAGAGGTATGGGTAGGAGGAAAAAACAGGTTGAGTCAGTGTTAAGGAAAATGTTTCAAACCCTCATCCTAAACCTTTGATTACTGACTCTCATCCCCTACTTCACCTGGGACTCAAGCGCTGTAGTAAACAAGGCATCCTAATTTTGTTTCAGTTGTAGTGAATTAAAGGAGCAACTCTTTTTTAAATAATCTTGAGTAACATAATAGTATTATTTTTTTCAGAAAAGAATTCTCATGGAACTTTGCATTCTTTTTATCTATTGGCTTCACTTTTGTGAATGGTATAGAACAATTCAAATGGCAAACTTTAAAAGATTACTTCATTATTTTATTTTTCCTACTATAAAGTCAATCTCTTGTTCTTAAAAAGTACAAAGTTCAATATATTTTTTAAAATCTGTTTTTCCCCCTAAAGCCATTAGTTTGTATATTTCTGTACAGTGTTCTTCTGTACTGAGAAATGTTTTTTAAATATTACATGAAGTCTTCCTCCATTGGCTTGTGGTTAGTGAAAATTTCTGTCTTTTCTATGTGTGTTGTAAATGTTTCTCCCACCCTGGATCTGTGAAGGTGGTTTTTTAAAACTTAATGGAAGTTTTTAAATCTATTCCTTTTACATGATTGTTTCAAACCTTTAATTTATAAAGAAATATGTCAAATTTAAAACGTTAGGTGAAAAAGCTTTCAAAGGTCAGTTTTGTTGGTCAGAATATTGCATCAGCAATAATGTTCATTTCTAATTTCCTGTTAAGTCACTCACATAATCCTTTCTGCCCTTCTCCAAATATTCCCTTCCAACAGAAATTTACCAAGAAAATTGTAATTTATACAATGTCAGTGAATTTTAATTGGACAAATTCTAATATATCCCTAAATCATCTTATGGTATAAAGATGATTAGCTGTGCATAAATGCTCACTGAATATCTGCTAAAGAGGTGACAGGATATTTTATTCTTAATAAACTGGCATACTACACACACTTTTCGTTGTTTACAATTGAACGTAAGTTAAAATGATTACATAAATTTAGGTTTTTTTCCACTGGAAACAAAGGGTCTCTGCAATGAGGTTATTATTCCAGGCACCATGCACCTGACAACTATGTATCAATGTTACAAAAAACACAAAGAATACCCTTAAAAGGCGTACGCATACAATATACATATATGGTATGTATTTTCTGATATATTAGATACATATATAGTTCTAAACTTTGGCTTCCTTTGTTGAGTAAGGATATTCGTTCTTTCACTGAGTGAAGGCACCAAGGCAATAGGGCTTAAAGGCAGCCACACTTTTACAAAGAACATGTCTCATGTTTTAAGTCTCCTCAAGTCAAGAGAAGGCGTGTCTAAGCACTTTAGGGTAACGACCTGTAAAGCCCCAAAGCAACTAATAACCAAATGCATTAAAGTCGCATCTTAATTGTCCCTAGTGTTGGGGTTTCATGCAGAGACTCACGCAGGCAGAGGACATGAGTTCCTTACGCTGCAGAACATGAAGGTTGAGCAAGGATCTGAGCTTCCAATGCTCCAGGGCTGCGGCTGCGCTCCCGCAGCATTCACTACAACTGTGCAAGGCACCTAGACGCGGACAGCTAAGAAAGGGGGAGCATTTTTGAATAAAGCGCCAAAATGCACGGTGCGGACCGGACCAAACCGAACGCGGAGTGTTCCAAAGAAAACACCCTACTCCCGCCCAGACACTAACCTGGGAACCTCCAGGGCACCCGCTGGGACTTCAGTGTTGGTGCGCTGAGGTTATGGTAGTGGCCAAAAGAAGCGGTTGCCTGGCCTCCAATGAAACAAGACCGCCAAGCGGCCAGGCCCACGCTCGCCATCTTCCCAGCGGCCCCCGCGCTCGGGATCACTCCGTACACGCAGTTCCGAGGCTGCGCATGCGCCGTCCGCAATCTGGCAGAATTTTGCAAATTGCGACGCGGAGTTTAAATTCGCGGGGACATTGCACTTATGTAAGTTCTAGTCCTAACTGTAACAGTGGGGAGTGGCCTCAAGGTTACCTTCTCTGTTGGCTGCTCAGAGCTCAGAGCAATCATAGCCAGCGTTAGGAGCCCATCTCATCGTCCAGAGGACCCAAGATAGTGAAAACAAAATGCCAGATTTGCGCCTTCCCTAATCCGTGTGACTCCCTAACAGCTATAGTTTGCGCCCGGAAGGTTTCTGAAATCCGTCTTCATCTTGCTGTGATATCCCTGTGGTAGAATCTTTGGGCTTCCTTGTCCGTGTGATACTGGTTACTGGGAGTCGATTTGCAACCAGGGCCTTCACACTGAGCTCCTTACCAGCCCTTTGAAACAGGGTCTCACGAAGTAACCAAATCGGCCTGGCTAGGGGTGGAAATTGTGATCCTCTGGCCTCAGCCTCGCCAGAGTGCTGGGATTACAGGCAGGACCACCAGCCTGGCTTCTCATACTTCCTTCTATTAGTTTTTACTCTAGTTATGTGTCTAGTTGAGTAATTTACTGCATTATCATGACCCTAGACCATGGTGTGCACAGTAATATGTTCCAGTAGACAAATAATCTCAACTGAAGAATACAGTTGAGTAGAATAAATTTTAGGTTTTTAAAAATATTTGAAACAGCCAAATTACTCAGTGAAGTACGTTTGGCTGTATATGAATTTAAACACTTCTAATGACAAAAAAGATGTCTTCAAGTCAAAGGAGAACCTAGCAAGAGATTTTGCAGTATTGTATTGATACACATTAATTCTATTTGGCCTATTCTGATCCTAAGGGAAAAAATTCAATGTTTCTTGTGAGGTATAATGCCTCTCAAGTAGGAAAGATGTATATATATTAGGGCTTGATTTCAAGATACACTTAACAAGATGTTGAACTGTTTTGCCAGTTATCCCCGAGGATTACAAAGGGACTGAATTATAGAGGTGATATCCAGTGAATGCCACTTCACCATCCCTTGCATCTTTCTTTTTTTTGGTACCAGGGATCAAATTCGTGACCTCGTGCTTGCCACACTTTTGCCACTGAGCTGAATCCCCATCCCTTCCCTTGCATCTTAATAAAACATTTGCAGTTTTGGAAAAGTGAAAATATTTGTAGTCTTTCTCTCCTTTTCTTTTTGCAACTCTTCTTGCATTTTGTTTATGTTATAAATGTAAAATCTGGCTACTTGTCATTGTGGGAAAAAGCTACACACACAGCTAACCCATAGGCCATTTCCATCTTTTCGTATCTCTCGAACAAATCAGGAATAGTTGTGGCTTATGGCAAGTGAAGATGCTTACACCAACAGTGATGGGCTTGAAGGAGACCAATTTGTTTCACTGTGCATGACTCTCAGTGTTGCCTCCATTAACATAGAAAGGGCTCCAGGACTTATCACTTATAAGGAGTGGTTTTTCTTTCAGAAATCTGCTGACTTGCTTCAGGGAGACAAATGAGGTCCCCATAAAGTAGAATCTCAGGAGCTTCACATTTGCATGTTTTCCCCATCAGATAAAAAGGTAAGTAAATGTAGTCATAATCCCCAATAATGACTATCAGTGCAAACAGACATCAAATTTTTCTCAGGTTCACATTGTTTAAGCAATAAACATGTGATCAACAATATTTCTAGTTACTCCAGTTTATAAGCCACAAATCATGTTGTGAATTCTACAGCTGACTCATCATGTCATGGAAGTTACTTCCAAATCAAGAGTTTACTTTCACATGGGAAATCAGGTTAACATTTTAATCCAAATTCAGTATGTTTAACACATATTTAAAAGGCTTACAACATGCAAGTTGATTATCCTATTGAGAAAATACAGTACAGAAAAGTATCTTTAACCAACAAAAATTTTAGCTACTGCATTTCATTCTCTTGGATCATTAAAGCATTGAAGGGTGATCTCTGCAAAGTCTGATTTCTAAAAAGATCCTTTACAGTCATGATTTTTGTTCTTCATTGTTCAAGTAAGATCTTGTGTCATCCAGTTGCAAATTTTATTGGCAACATGTATACATGAATACAAAGCATATTGCAGACATTAAAAAAAAATTGTACCTAGTCAAGTCTCACAAAGTTTTAAAGACACTTTTAATCACTTAACCTTGCAAATAACATCATTTTGGAATTCTATTTGGAATTCTATTCCAAAATGGATTAGGAAAGAGTACATTCATACATACAAACACACAAAACATAAAAAAGTGTGACATTTGAAAACCCATTATAAGAGAGATTTGCCTGAAGTCATTTCATTCACAAAAATTAATTTAACTCTAAAAACCAAAGTCTAATTATAAGGAAATATATAATAAAATATTATAGAGAATGTTAAGCTGAATTTTGCCTTTATATCATTTCTGTATATAGCTATTTTGTTATGTTCTTTGGTGAAAACAACTGTGATTTCATAGCTATCTCATGTGAGGGTGTAACTGATAGGTATGCTCTATAACAGACAAATCAGACACTCTAAAGGAAATTAGCTATCGGTTGCCTTCATTCTCAGCACTGAGAATGGAGAAATCTTACACAAAAAAGCTCCTCACACTTAATAGTTAAAATTACCCAATGTGACATGTATTTTGGCTGAGATGGCTTTTTCTAAAATACAGATTTTTTTTCTTTCTTCTTTTACAAAAATGTACAGTAGCTTCTAGTGATGACACTGCAAAGTTAATTTCTTGGTGGCATCAAAATACTGTTTAAAATATTACTACTACTTTAAACTGCTTTAAGATACTACTGCTAAACAAAAGTCATGTCAAGTCTTTGGTTTTGGTGGAGTCCTTATTCTAAAACATATTCCCCTCCAAGCTTTTATTTGCTTAGATTTGTTTAATGGTACTTCCAAAAAAAAAAAAAAAAAGCCAGCTGATTACCATAATGTCAACAGATGGCAACAATTTGGGTGTTATAGTAATTCCATATTTGCAAGTACACATATACAGAAATTTTGTAAACTGTTTAGTTTATTTCACCATGACCAACTGATAAAAAAATAGTAAGAAATGTTGTTTAGTGATATTTATCAAAATAGTGTTTCTATAGGAGCTTCAATTCTTTTGCCATTTATGATCAAGCTTTGAATTAAAGCTCCTTCCTTCCTTCCTTCTTTAGTTTTCACACACAGCTTCTCATTATGGAGGAGTTCTAAGTATACAGTTAGGGACTGGGTCTGTTGGGTGTTTCCATCAGGGGTTGACTATGGCTTCATTCTTGTAAGAGATTATTGCAGTCTGCCCCGAAGTGGACTGTTACTTCAATTCATTACAACAAAAAGTGAGTGTAACCTTCCGCCCCAGTAACTATCACATCCATCCAGATCCGCATGGCTTCCGGCGATGGGGCCACCATGTAATAGATTCTGTCGTGTGTCTTGACACTAAAGGTGAGTAACGGATTAGGGCTCTGAAATTCAAAACAGGAAAAGAAAAATACCTTAAAATCCACGTAAAATTACAGACATATGTGAAGGTTTCTTCCTTTTTGAAAGTTCCTAATGATAGAAATTTATGTAGGCATTATATTTGCTCAGTTATACCCGCTTTCCCTATGCCATTCTTAGGAATGACCACGTTTCGTCTTCTACCACGGGAAGCATCAGCAGAACTCACTAATTCTTACTGGCTAGTTCATAAAGCATGGTACTGAGCTGATAAGGGGTACCTGAAATAGTAGTAGTTACTGTTAGCCCTGTTAAGATCCTATGAACTTAGGATTCCCTCATGACTACATAGTACTCCCATCCACAGTGCTGCAGTTAACTCCGCAAGGTCTCCCGAACCAGTGTATCCACAGTATTCCCTTACTCCCTGATAACTCCCCTCACCTCCCCAGAGAGTCAGCTGCCCTATTTCAGTGTTAACTTTCTAGCTCTACTCTGATCATATCTGTTTTATGTGAGAATGGCAAATTAAAGTGCTTAAAGTTCAAAATTACCTATCTTAATTATGCATTCAAATTTAGAAAATTAGCTAACTGGTGTTTACCTTATTAGCATTCTTGAGGTGATCATAATATACTTCCTCAATGGCTTGAAAGTATATGACTCCTTTTAACTTTGCTTCATGCTTGTCTGCAAAGATAGATGAGTATTACATACTTTATCACCATTGAAGGACCATAAAATTATAATTGCATGATAATTATCATCATTATATATCTAGAATTTAACTGATCTAAGATTAATTCAGATAACCTAGGGTAGTAACATTAGCCCTGGTCTGTATTCAAGCAAACACAACAGAAAGCTATGAAATTCCCACACACAAACCAAAGACTCAACTACTTTGTCCAAGGTTCTTCAGCAAATTAGCAGTCAAAGGACAATCCAGAACTACTGTCACACAAAGTAGAAACATTACTGCCACTCATGCAAAACATTCCCCCACATTCTTCCAGACTGTCTTTGTAATGAAAATCTTAATATGCCTAATAGTTGTAATGAAATTTTAGACTGTTTTAAATATTATAAATTTGATTTATAATATTCTACTTCTGTTTCTTTCTACCAAATTTGTCCAGTATGCTTGACTTTCCCCTTTTACCAACAAGGCTTCATGACAATCCTATCTTTTAATGCAGCATTTTCTAACCTGTTTCTAAACATTTCATCAGGTTTCCCATAAGACTGACACCAACCAAATGAACAGCACAGCTTTGATTTACCGAATTCCTGAAATGTTTTATAATTAAAACTCTGCAAGTATCATAATGCATGTGAACAACACATTTAAAAGCATGTGTGAAGAGGCCAGGAAAAGGACTCGCCCTGTTCCCTCAGTGGAGACAAGTAACGAAGCCTCTTTCTGAAGGCAGGTGGAGAACAGTTAACAAACACAAAAATCCTCTTATTCAGCAATTCTGCTTCCAAACTTCCACTAGTGTATGTGCAAATATGCACATGCATCTCGCTTTTTTTTGGTTAATGGCACACAGCTACAAAAGATGCTTGAGCTTAAGAGGGGACTGATTTAATTACAGGCCAGCCACACAGTGACATCTGTACAGACACTAAAGCAACAGGTATGTTGCTTCAGCTCATAGGGGAGCTGCTCTTATGAGAAATAGGGTGTGAGCAGAGAAAAGAGTGGTCCCAAACTATAAAAAAGAAATATATGTGTTTGTATACATAATAAAACATACACAAACAAATGGGAGAAAATTGCAGTATTTCTGTGGGAGAAAGTCAGAACTGTTATGGGAAAGAAATTTACTAGCATTACACAGATTTGTTTTCTTTTTTTTTTCCCACAAAGTTAATGTTCCTTTTCCCCAGTAACAGTAAAAAGCAAGTCTGAAAATTAATGGCCCAGAGAAGTTCCACAGAAAATAAACATAATGTATTTACTTGCACTGAATCCAGCATTCTCTACATTATTTGACCAAGGGCTTATTTTTGACTTGTTTTGCTCTTGCTTGGGAAACACTGTTTTAATTAATAGCGTTATCAGGGGGTTTTAACTAGTTTTAATAAAAGAGTAGGTCAGTGTGTGTCTCAAACATTTTCTAGAAAGGATCCTGCCGTAATCAGTGGGAGTACACCAATACTTTTCTTCAAAACAGATTTAAAATCAAATCTGGAAATGCAAATAAATCTTGACAGTGTTTCAAGCAGACAGAAATCTAGGGAATGAAAATTTTCAGGATATTTTATCCGTGAGAATGCACACTGAAGGATGCAAGCTCCACAGCCCCATCGTGAGCTGTGAAGATCCATCATGCTGCTATTTGGTGATGAAATAATGCTATTCACTGTGTCTCTGGACAGCATTATCCCCATAATTTTCAGACATCTTTCCTGTGTCTCAACTCTGTTTAGAAATGCTCCCAAAGCTCCAGATTAATAGGAGGCCAAGGACAGAGGCTAGGGCCACGAGCAACCGAGAGATCTGTGTCTTAGCTTTCAGCAGTCACGCACACGTGCACATACACGCTTGCGCACACACACTGCCATTCCCTTATTGAGAAGCTGCTAAGGCACCAGGACCAAGTCCATCCCGAACTGCGGTCTGTATGACTGGCCAGGAATGATCCACGTGTGATTCCTGCTGTTTCAGGAAGGACTGGGGTTGGGAGGAAGGGATAGGATAGGGTGTTGGGGAAGGGGCAGCTAAGCTGATGGGGAATGATTATAAACGGCCAAGTGAGCAGCATTTGGCTAACTAGGTCTCATCGCTCAGTTATATCAGATATAAAAGTTGTCGAACTGTAAGTTCATCTGTTTTTCATTTGAGGGTTCTAAGTAATTTTTCATGTAACTAAAAGGTTTTTGGTACTTTAAAAAACTGAAAATAAGTCACCAAAATTTTCAATGTGAAAAATGCATTTACATGGCTCAGGAGGAGATGTGTGGAGAAGGCAGGCAGGGTGCTGAATAGGCACTGGCTGATGGCTAAAACAAAGAGCCGTGAGGCTTGCAGGAAGGATACAGCTGTTAAATGTTCTTTTCTAATGCAGGAAGCAGCTGGGTGTGGTGGCACACACCTACAGTCTCAGCACTTGGGAGGCCGAGGCACGAGGGTCACCAGGAGTTTGAGGCCTGCCTGGGTTACATAAGTGAGTTGAAGACCAGCCTGGACTACATACTGAGACCTTGTCTCAAAACCAAACAAACAAAAATGCATTTAGCAGACACAGATTGGGTTTCTTATTATATGAGTCATCTTTGTATTAAATGAAAAAAGCTGCTCTGGATTTTCATAAAACCCCAAATGAGAAAGCCGTAGAGAGGCCCAGCTTCTGCTACTGACTCCTGCCTAGTTGCAAGTTACCTAATGGGGCCCCCACAGAAAGGGTGAGTCCTCTGCTCATTTCTATCCTGACTCTGGGGCTCCCTGGCAGTGTGTTCTCACACCTCTGGGTTCCTCATCCCCCTCCCAATAAATATCAACTGCCTTCACTGGATAGGTGAAGTGACTGGACTCTTATTTTACATCAATTATGTTGGTTCATTTTATATGATGCTCATAAATGCTGATACAGCATCCCCAAACCATAACCCCTGCTAGACACCACCCTTCTTCAGAAGCTGGGAATACAACAAAGCTAGACTTGTGCTCAGAGTGAATATATCTCCTTCCTCTAATCCCAGAGGAAGTAAGAGCTTTTGAGTAAGTATGCCAGTCACACAACTATTCCTGTATTTCTCTAGGACTTAGTAGGATGTGCTTTTCTTTTTTTTCTTTTTTGGTTTTATGACTGCCTGCTTGCAAGGAAGGCACTTATGCCGCTGAATTAATTCCCCAGCCCTGGATGTGCTTTTCATAATTTAGCACTTTGGAACCCAAAAGTATTCCAGATACTTTTAAACACTTGCTCACTAGTTTACTGATTAGTTTTATTCTGTGCTTCAAAGATTACAGTAATTGGTAAACTACAGAATCTGTTAAAACAATGTATACACATTTCAGGAAAAGAAAAAAATATCATTTTTTTCAATAGATGGTGTTACCCTTTTATGGGGGACCCTAGAGGATGCTGTATCACAGAAAACCCACTATACTGCCAGCCCTTAGAGAAGAAATTGAAAATGCATGTGGAGAAATCCCAATGACCACAGCTACCCAAGCAACAGTCTGCTGTACTGATAAATGTCTGGAAGCTAATGGCCATCACTTTGAGCACCTCCTGTAATTGTAGAAGTTAAAGATAATGTATATTAATTTTATGACGTCTCAGTAAATTTAGCATTAAAATATTTATACAAGTTTTTCTTTTCCTGATGTGTGCATACATTTTTTTTTTTTTTTTTTGGTGGACTCTTTTTGAATGACTGTCAGCTAGCTTGACTCTACCATGTGTGACTTAAATAGGACTTATTTATTTTTTTAATTTTATTTTAAAGAGGAAAAACTCAAGAAGCCATCAAGCAACAACAAAAGCAAAATGCAAAAACGACGAGAAAAATAGCAATACAGGATTTCAAACTAAGATGACAAGAATTTAACAATGGTTGTGGTATTACATATTGTTATCTTCAGAACAGTTGCTCAGGTTACTAGATACAGGCATGCAAAATGGATCAAACTATGTAATTCCCCTTTGAGCAGTTTCTTACCCTTTTACTGTATCTATTGTATCATTTTGATTTTATATACTCTTTCAGTTTCTTACACTAGTGAGACAATACAGTGTTTACAAATGCAAGTTTGATTTATTTCACTTATGATTATTGGTTTATAGTGGCACCCATTTACCTATAAAAGTCTCAAGTTTATAGTTCTTTATGGCTGAGTAGCACTCAATTGTATAAAAATACCACATCTTTCTTATCCATTCCTCAGTTGATGGGCATATGGGTTGTTTCCAAGATCTGGATATTACAAATTGTGCAGCTATAAACATGTGGATGCACATATATCACTGTGGTACAATGGTTTTAATTCTTCTGGGAAAATACTCAGAAGAGGCACAGCTGGGTTGAATGGAACCTCTAATCCTAGTTTTTTGAGGAATCTCCACATGGATTTCCACACTAGTCCACACCCCCCCCCCGACAATGGAGAAAGGTTCCTTTCCCCCCACAGTCCCACCAGCATTTGTTATTGGTTGATTTCTTGATGTTAGCCATTCTTTTAAATAGGATTTAGAAATAAATAACAAAAAACTTTTTTGTAGCCTTGTAGTTTAATGGGCAATATTTTAATGTTAAATATAAATTTCAAAAATAATGTTTATTTTAGAACTAGAATAGATTAATGTTAAAGTTAATGCTAAAGATTAATGTTAAATGTTAAAGTAACATTTAGTTGTAAAAAGAAAATTCCTATCATATTGAACTACATAATATGAAAATGTAATAATGTACATCTACAAGGTTAATATTGCTATTGCTTTTACTACTTACCATGCTATCTATTTATACCTAGTCTCACTTGCCTTTGCTCTATAATAGATTTGAATATATCAATTTTTTTAATTACTCACCTGCATAGTAAGAAAATGTTCTCTTATTCCGATCAAAAACAAACCAGCGTTTTTTCCAAGTTTTAATTTTTCCACCCATTTTGATGAGGAAACCTCGGCATGTCTTCTCTGTGATTGATACGTGATAACAGGTATCAATATTGTGGCCAGCAGTCTCCACATGGCTCCGCAAATCAAAGTCCTCCTTCCGGACAGGCAGATAGCGTGTCAAAGGACGAGCCTGAAAAATTGCAAAGCCCGTTCCATTTACAGTTGATTATTTCATTTTAAGTTATAGATGTCTAGAAACTGGAACTAAATGTAATGTCTTAAGTTTTAAAACAGTCATGTATTTATGAGCACATACAATAAGGCATTTACCTACTGGAGACTAAAAAGTAGCTAGTCTTTTGAGTAGGATGCTGTAAAATAGGGAAGGGATCAATTCTGTTCCTTGAGATGGGAAGATGAGTGCATGGAAACGTGTCATTTATTTTAACTTAGAAGAGATACTTAGTATCTAACACATAGAGGGAAGCGTGGGGTGAATCTATATGGACTGATCCTTCAGCTGAGGGTTCCACCACGAGGATTTCAAGAACTTTGCCCACTGCAAGGTAACAACAGCCCTAATTAATCCCAGATGTGCATGATAGGCTAGCACTATTTAGTAAGCACATTCCCAAAAGACCCTGGAAAGCTGCAATCATCAGCTTACCTACACTGTAACAGGAATTGAAGGCAAGAATGTATGTTTTGAAAAACGTAGCCAAAATGAAGTTAAAAGTGCAATCGAAGCTGCCTCTAAAGTAATGAAATGCCCAAGACCAGAAGCCAAAGGATTCATTTAGATGTCTCTTACGGATGTTTGAGGCCAACATTCATCTAATCCAGGAAGCATATTATAACCTTGGAAGATAGTTCTAAAATGATGTTTTATCTTATTAAATAACCCCTTTGCCTGAGGAAATGATTTAATTGTGTGCTTAGAGGTGAAACTTATAATCAGGATTAAAATAGACTTGGGTTTTTTGGTTTGGCTTCTGATACTAAATGGGCAAGGATGATTTTAACTGGGAATCAGAATTTGCAAAAGTTGTACGTGACGATATAAAATAGCAAAGTTTTACTGTTTATCAATATTTTACCCCTCATTCCATGGTACTTGACTACAGATAGGCACCGCAGGCTTACTGAGGCCTACACACCCGCAAAGCTCTAGAGGCAGTCCCTAACTGCTGTGCCACAGACCACTAAAACACAGGAACTAAAACACAATACGGCACATCACATCTTTTGGCTCTGAACCTACTAGATAAATAATCAATCTTGATAAAGCTGATCTGAATTTTAACTTATGCAATACTTAGTAAAGTTGAATTTTATCTTCAGAGAATGTACGTTATTTAAGTAGCTATCATGACAAGAATTGAGACTGCAAATTTAGGATGTGCAAGATAGGAAGTTGAACAAAATGGGTGGCTTTCTTGAATTTTGCCTGAGCTCAGTAATCTTATGTGCATATGCTATGAATTGTATGTAGCAAAGGGGACACATATGATAATGTAGTCGCCAAAAAAAGACAACACTACCACCAAGAAACTGTGCTGGCAGAATTGTCCTGTTTTGACACGTTGATTCCTGAAAGATGCCTTAATAGACTCTTTCTTTCCTTCACTGAAGGTTTTTTTTTTGAGACCTTGTATCTGTGTTCAGCAGCCAATGGCAATTTTCTAAACTGTCCAAAACCATTCTCCTTCTCAGGTACCTCAGAGAGTTAGTAGAAAGCATGCTTCTACCAGCAGGATGTTCCATCTGAGTAGAGAAAAGTCATCTGGTTGGTCCTTTCCTAACGGGGAAATAAACTCATATGCTTTGCACATGAACAAAATTTTCCTTAACTTTAGATGGTTAACCAAGCACCAATGTCAAAAAAGGCATGCATCCTCGGCCTGTCTCCCAAAGAACCGCCACCAGAGGGCAACCTCGCCTCACTGGATTGACCAACCAACCTGTGCCCTTTGTTTCTCCCTTATTTTTACTTCCTTTTCTATTAACTTCTGCCTCTGGCTAGTTTCTTCCTGCAGGCGTTTCTCTAGGACTTCTCGGCGCCGTTTTTCTTCTTCCAGAGCTCTTCTCTTGGCTTCCATTTCCCGTTCCTAAACATCATGCAGAACAGATTGAGGCCCACTGGTCATGCTTAAAATGATTACAACTATAACCAAAAACAAAATTCTCACTAATTTTTAGTTTGTATTCCAGTCCCTTAAAATATATATCCTAGACTAATGCGACCCATAAGCACCTCTCACATAGCTCCAAACTCATTCAATGCAGATACGCAATTATTAAGTTTAATTAACAATTAAGTACTGGTCTTGGGCTGGGAAGCAGCTCAATGGTAGACCTCTTGCCTAGCATTTTCAGGACCTTGGATTTGATCCTCTGGAGAGCAAAAAACAAAACACAGCAAAGTAACAAAACACACTGATCTGAAGTGAAACTGATTACATTTAGTTGTTTTTACCTATGGCCACAACTCCTTGTTTTTAATAAAAGTCACACAAGCTCACTCAACACTAGCTGAGGTTTAGCCCTTTCTTAGGCTGCTATCTTCTAACTGAAGGTCATCAGTGCTCCCAATTCCTGTTATGGCCTGCAGCTGCTTGGCTGAAGGTCACAGAGGAAGCACACAGGGAAGTTAGGGACGGAAAGGAGGTTCCCTCAGAACGGATGCAAAAGCATTTGGGGGGTTCCCAAGGAAGTTCAGACTGCAGCTTGAAATACAGTCACAATAATGTGGGATTTTTAGGATCACAATAGTGCCGCTCGCTCGTACGAGCTGCGTAGACTGGGAGAAAGCATGAAGGCCCATTCTCCCTGCCTCCTGAGCATGGGAAAGTACAGTTCGAAACCTCCCTTTGTGTCTGTGTTAGCACCGTAAATATACTGCATGTATTCTTTCAAGTTATGGAGAACCGTTACACAATAAAAAGCCTTAGAAATAATCTCTCTAACATCTCTGCTTTTCAAATGAGCAAGCAGGCTGAGCAAAGCAGAGTGATTACTTCAGGACCACAACACTTGTGGAAGCCTTTTCAGGGGGTGGTGCATGGTTTGCATGGGGCTGGCTGCACTAGCCACCGCCTCATCGCAGTCCGGCAGGACGACACTGAGCTTACCCTGGATTCAAGCAGTCGGGTCTTCTCTGCATGAGCCTGTTTCAACAGCCTCTCCATTTCTTCTATCCTGGCAATATTTGAAGTGCTGGCACTGAACCAAACACAAAAGCCTTTTGAGAATTTTGGCACAAGCACACATGTGCATCCAGACACACACGCACGCACACACACACACACACACACACACACACACACACACATCAAGGGAGGCAAATGACCAAATGCAAGCAGATACAATTTAAGCAATGATGTTACTTGTAAGTCATTGGTCTGAAGTGGCAAATCAATTCGACTCTAACCGCTGTAGGTGACACTGACTTAGTTTAGGAGACAAACATACGCAAGCAGAATATTGCCGAACTAAACTGCTTTATTCATAAATCAGTATACCATAGCCAACTCTTACCAGGCATAACTTTCAAATGCATCTTTCAAAGTCTAAAAAGCACAGCTGTGAGAGGTCTCTCTGTTTAAATGATCTGGATGTCAGACCCACATTTATATAAAAATGAATTTATAAGAATGTATATTAAATAATCCGTTGTACTTTTGATTAAATCAAACAGGATGATTTAAGTCCAGGGCTGAGTTCTTTGGCAGAGATACATGACCACAGGGCAATGGCTGCAGTCAGCACTGGGGATCCCGTGGTAAAGCGGAGCCCCAAAGCACGGACCCATCTCAGTCCAGCACCCTGGCAAGCCTGACACACAGGATGGACACTGCAGGCGCCTGTGGGCCAGTTGTTAGCCAGCTGCTTTCTCCTGAGGAGGAGAACATGGCCATTTCTACTATTTCTATTAGTTATTAGGGGAGACAGAAAAGGGTACGCTCTACTCTGTTCAGGTAGAAACAATCCAAGAAAAAAGTCTTCCATTTTTATGCCCGGAGACTTACTCCCCTTCATTGGTAATAGCTGACTTCACGGATGGAAAAGGGACAAACTTTACTGGCCTGAGCAAGCTGAGCACATATTCCTTAGGCAGTAATAGCACAAAATTACACTAACTTTCTGTAGTGCTGGGATATAAAATGTATCTTAGGTCTCTAATTAATGTAGAGATAATGTTGAGTTTCACAATTTCAAGCCTCAAAAATTACCAATTTACAAGAAACAAAGTAAGTCACCAACCAATAGTCTACTTTCATTTGTCCCATTTTTTTATGCACTCTACATTTATTTAGATTTCTTTTTGGTTTGGAACATGTTTTTTTCTAAATTTTTATTAGTACCTGTTTGCAGTACCTAATGATTGCTTTCATTGCAGGGAGTGTGTGTATGTTTCACCACTTCATTTCTTCCTCAGTTTTACTGAGAATGCAGATAACTGACAACTGTATATGTTACGGTACACAATGCAACAGTATGATACCTGCATACACTGTGGACTGGTTACTGACATCTCCGCCACTTCACACAGTCCCCTCTGTGCGTGTGGGTGTGCTGAGACCTTAATTCTATGGCAGAATTGCTGCAGAATGGCCACAGCTGGCAAGCAGCTGTGCATGTCCACTGTTGCTTCACATGAAATTGACCCTTGGTGTTGTCCAAACAATCACAGATAACCAATCCTCAAGGGCAGAAATGGTTTTATTTTGTTGTATTCTCAGATGTTTTAAATGTCAAAAAATCGACAAAATAGAAGATGCCTATAAAGCGTCAAGAGTATAAAAGGGAACGAAAAATAGGTGTTTTGTCATCTGGCTCCGTACCTACCTTAAAACAGCTAGATACTTTTACCTGCTGTTGTGATGGAAAATAATATGATAAACATTAGGAAAGTAAGAAATAAAAAACCAAAGTTTAGGATGTATGTGGTAACAAAGTAACCTTATTTGGGACTTCAGGAATCTTGGTATAAAGAACAATAAAGGACTAAAAACTGCTGTGCTCAAGATTTCTTAAAATTATGCATTAAAATGTACCAAAATTATAAGTCTATCAAAGAGGTAATTCCATACTGAAATTTTAGTGATATAAAGTTGGTCTTGTGGTTTATGATATCATAAAAAGCTCGGTTGTGGGTACATTTGACCTTCAATTTATGTTGATACATCATTTTTTTTGACTACCAGAAAGTTACTAGAGTCAGATTTTTTAACTTTTTTTACATTTTCAGCATCATAGTGTATACTCTACACAAACATCAAGCTCAGAAAATAGGCCCTGGGTCTTAAAAAACAGGCGATTGAGAGTAAATTCTGCACCAAATCTCTATTCTACTAAAATTATCAAGACATCTTAGAAAATAGTACCCTGCACCACTGCAGTGCTACCCATTATTGCTGCTGCCTGCATTAACTTACTAACCCTAACTCTGTGTTCATATGTGGAGAAAACATCAAGGACTGACACGGGAGGCATAGAGATCTGAGAGCTCCTCACCCTGCCAACGAGCAGCTTTAGGACAGAAGGGAGGGCCGGGCTGGATTCGCACCTCCAGCATCTAGGTAACTACTGATATGGAGGAGAAGATCACCCAGCCTTGGAAGGCAGAATTAGTGAGAATATAACTCAGTGACACAGCACCTGCCTGGCAAGTGCAAGGTCCTGAGTTTAATTCCTGGTACTCTCTCCCCACCAAAATGAATCACTCCCACTAACAGTTGCCATGTGCCTATGCCCAGATTCCCTAATAACACTTTTGCAAGCTTCAAAGTACAAGTACAAATGTGGATGGGTTAAAAAAATCCTTGCAAAAGTTTTATTATACAGAATAGCTAAGCCTTTCCTTCCAGCAAAACCTAAGGGTAAAAAACAAAAAACCAAAACCCTTTAAAGTTCTCTTTTACTGGGAATTACTTCTTCACTTAATCAAAAGCAGTGCAACTGAAGCTTAGAGTCCTTCAACAGAGGCAACTTGCTTCTGAAGCACAGTGTAAATGTGAACTCAAGTATAAAGAGGATATAATGGGAAAATGGTCTGCATAACTTCTGGCTCAGTCATATAAGGTATAAAGAAACTACTTTCAAAGGCTGCTGTGACAGGGAAGTTTGTATTTTACATTTTACAATTATTTTCATATATAAGCTTATTTGTCTCATCTATACTACTAGTATATCTTAGTTGAAAGAAAGTATTGTGTTACCTGTTTCTTCTTTGGAAGAATCTTTTGGTTTATATCTTGTTCTTTGAGTAACTACTTTGAAGATAATTATCATTTGTTATTTTGTTATAAATTTTATATTCATAAAATAAAAATAAATTTTAAAAATTTAAGTTCATACAGACATAATGTCTAAAATTTGATGACTACATTTTGTGGTTGGTGTGGTGGGTTTTTTGGAAACAGTGTCTTACTATGTTGCCCAGGCTGGCCTTGAAATTCTAGAGTCTCCTGCAATAGCCTCCCGAGTCGATGGGATTGCAGATGTGTACCACTGTACCTGATCTGACTTTATGTAGTCAGATACTGATATTCCAAATAAGAAACTCTGGCCACAAACAGGCCTTACCTAGAAATATTGTCAGGTGAGCAGGCAGAAATGCTGGTCTCCATGCTGTCAGAGCTGTCCAGGCTCAAAGTGTCAAAGGCCTGGTCCTTGTAGCTATGATCCGGGTAATGGAAACTATTCAAGTAGACATTGGATTCTGATGCTGTGCGGTTGTAAAATTCAGATTTTTGCCTTTGTCCTTCACTCATCTGTTGGTGATTATAACCTAAGGCAAGAGCCATAAATATACCTCATTTATCAGTCTTAGCATCTTCTATGTCTACAGGCTCAAAGCAGCAACAGAAACATTTGCATATGAAATGTGGGCCCCAGTCTAACTTGCTTTGAAGCCAAGAAAATCAAAGAAGCAGCATCATGCTCAGTGGAAGAGTTTCAAAGACGTGGTCTGGGGGCTGATTTTGTCAGTGGGATCACTTGGCACTTTCCCATCTCATTCTTACAACTCAGTACAATGGAGAACAATACATTGGCACACATTCAACACAAAGGAAAGAAAACCCAAAATATGAAATAGCTGGCTCAAGTGAAGACAAGATGAAGCCTAGTGACAAGCAACGCCAGGGCTGTCAGGCGGGTGGTGGTACTCGCATGTCAGGAGCACTCAGTTCAGTCATAAAATGGCAGGCAGAGAAACTTTCAGGGGGGAGATTTGAAAAACCTGTACGACACCTCTAATGTTTTAGTATGTGTAAGATCCATACGCATATTCTTTCTCCGTCTTTTCTGTCTCTCCCTCTTCCCTTTCTCCTTTCCCCCCAACCTTGCCTCATCTATCACTTACTTACTTAAAACATTCAGAGTCAATAACCCTTTGAATGATTAGATTCTTCCTAGTACTGTATATCTCATTCTCTTCTTGTACCACTTTAGCAATCAGCATTTAGTGGTAACTATGGTACATGTAGCGTTTGTATGGTCAAACGCACCATAAGTAAGGCTTCTTTACCCTGGCATTTAGAAAGCTGGCACATTAAGTTATTGATAATACTTGGACTCTGAATACTTATTTCAGGTATTACAAATCAAGTTGTCTTTTATACTAATAAATACTTTTCATTTAAAAATGCCTCCATAGTTTGTAATTTCTTTTTCCCTGATAAGAGAAATATCTCCTGAATAGCCTCCATTACTCAGGAGTTATACCAGACCTATTAAGAGTATGCAGTTAAACCATTTCAATTCCACCTCTTTTCCTCTACCTTTCAATGAGGCCTTTAACTAGTCATAAAATGGCCAAAAACTAGTCAAGAGGACTGGAGAAGGGAAGTAATTCCAGACAGCTTCCTTAGCTATTGATCAACCATTTCCATTTAGAAATAGAAGCAACATCTGTGATGCTTTAACAATACATTTATCCGGGGGCTGGGGATTTAGCTCAATGGCATAAGTGCCTACTTGCAAGCATGCAGTTGTGAGTTCGATCCCTGGTACCAATTAAAAAAAAAAATACATTTATCCACCCAAAGTTTCTGTAAAGTGATTTTAGCTTCATGCAGTTTTCATGCCATTAGTATATGGAGCAGTTTAATATATCTAAATAACATATATTAATAAATTTCCGAGAAAGTAAGTTTCCTTTATATAATTTGCCACTATCTATATGAAAATTATATACGCATATATATACCACATAGCACTCAGCTAAGGGAAGATGCAAAACATAAATCACACCATGAGGCTAGACAGAATAGTAATATTGCATGAAGTATAAATTAAGCCAGTCCATTCCTAAGCATAAAATTTGTGCCTTTAAAACAAAGAAAGCCAAAAGTAATTCATTGTTCAAATGTTTATCTTTTATATTTGAATTTTTGCAATTACTCATGGCTCATTTTAAAGTGTTTCCAAATATGTATTATGTGTAAGGAGGATTAAAAAAAAGCAGAAATCACTTGAAAAGTTATACATCTATATTTCTTTATGATTTCTAAAAAGGCCATGGCAAAAAAAAAAAAAAAAAAGGCCATGGCATACGAAGCTTGCACATTAGCACTGCCTTACATGGAAAACATTTCCCTGTTCTCATATGAAACATTCCTAGAAGACAGTTATGTAATTTCAAGCACACAAAAAAATGTCCTGACAATGACCTGTTCTGTGACCTTTACTGAGGACGAGCCATGTCACATGGGCAACAAACATCTCCCTGGGAAGCACAAAGACCAGAGTGCATTGCTCCCCACACACCTGTATGCACTGTCCCTCTTGATCTTCCTGGGTGTAGTTTTGTTTGGCTGGGTTTGTTGTTTTTAAAAGCATTGCAGAATAAGAAAATGAATTTATAACCTCCAGGTGAGAGAGGCAATAAACTACAATGATTTGACATTTCCAGATGGGTGCACAGAGGACACATGTTATACCAGGCACTGTGTAAGGACTGTCAACATGAATCTCCTAGGCCAGTTCACTCTTGGATGAGGTTTGACTGTGCCTGAACTTCCAGCCACTAGAGGATGTCCTCCCTCCAGGACAGAGCCTGTGGCTGAGGAGGCTATCTTTCCCAATGCAGGACTTCATGCGTGCATGTGTGCTTGCATGCATGTGGTACTGGGAGTTAATCCCAGAGCCTTTGCACTGAACTGTATTTCTAGCCCTTTTTATGCTTTATTTTGATATAGGGTCTCGCTAACTTGCTAGATTACCCAAGGTGAGCTCCCAGAGTGTTGGGGTTATATATATACACCACCACATCTGGCTGCAGGACTTCCATTTCCCACAGATCCAATGTGAGCAGGAATGCTCCCCTTGTGGAGCCAAGAATATTTTCATGATCATAATGGACACAACTGTCACCTGGCTCAGCCACCTCCCTATGAACAGAGTTTTAAAAATATGAGTTACCTTGCCATTCTCAAGAAGGGCAAGGGCCTCTCTCCTGGACCCTGGCCCCGTATACAAGTGTTTGAAGAGCTGGTTTAGGGATTCAGGCTGTAGACTGGCCATCCAAAGACATGAGTATTTTTAATAGAGGAAACACCATAGACAAACAGGAGATAGGAAGCGTGGCAGGGAGCCCAAGAGGAATATCTGAGGATCACCTCAAAGTATACACTAGGAAATAAAGTCAATTCAGCTCTCTCTTGCATAAAAGCCTATAGACTGCATGCACAAGGCACACTCATATTGTTCTAACAGGAATCCAAAAGCGTTCTGTGAATTAATCATTGTGAGATACATAGTCTTGTTAATGTACCACACGTAAATGTTACACACTTTTTAAAAATATGGTTATCAGGACTTTAATATAGAAAATGACATGGTTTTAATTTCTAACCTGGACTTCAGCGGGTAAAACTAACCAGCTTTCCTATCATAGCTCACCTGCTGAGGAATTCATTCTTCCTAATGACAGTCCACAGCCCGAGGAAGAAGGTACAGGACAAGTCAGGAATGAAGGAAGAGAATGATGGAGAAAGGAAAAAAGGTACAAGATCAAAAGGATGACAAGGGGACGAGAAAATATAACACTTTCAACATGCAGTCTTTACAGTGTTAGTACCAGATTAATACAGAACAAGGACCATACTTTCAAATTAAATCTAGGTTTACAGGGAAAAAGTTAACAAAAGAAAGTAACCTTGTGGTACATGCATTGTTAGTCAAAAAAGATATGTTAGAGGGAAAAACATTTTTACACATACACATCAACCAAAAAGAAAAATATAAGTAAGATTATATAAATACAGCAATTCTTTTTTTCCAAGCTGGTAACAGTAAATTTTTAACAGTAAGTTTTTAACAGCTAAAGTTTAAACAAAAGTCTCCTGACATCCTATCTTACTATCTAACTTCAGTAATGACCACATTATTTATGCAAGCCAGTCATTCAAACCCTGTTTCACTCTTCACTAAGTCATTCTTACAAAATAAGCTTAAAAGGAAAGGATAAATAAGAGCCACTTAAATCCTTCCATCTTCCCACTAAAACCTGATTCATTTTTGATATCTGGGCTTTTAAAGGAAAAGGGTATTTTGTATTTAGCCTACATACATCACAATACCCACTCTTCTCTTTATATAGATCCTGAGCCTTACAGATCAGTGCTTCCCAGCACTCATATTTCCTGCAGGTTTTGACCTTATGATAAACAGCCAAAACAAAGAAAGTCATGCAGCTGCCCTCAGCACTGTATTTCTTGCAAATGTGCAATGATATTTTCTCTATTATGATAAAGGAATAATCACTAGACTGAAATTCCACCATTGTAGAGTTTAAAATCTGATCATTTCTTAAAGATGACTTAACAATGACCTTTCAGTATTTGCCAGAAACAAAAACATCACATAACAGGTTTGTCCTACCTTTCTTGGACTTTCCTGCATTTAACAAAAAACAGAAGTACAAAGATTTTATCATTCTAAAGCTCACAAAGGAACAATTTGCAAGATGTACAAAAGTCAATGACCATTACCACCTCAGGAGTTGATTTTCTGAGCTCTCCACTTGGATCTCAAGATTCTTTGTTGACATGACTTACATAAAAACTGCACTGATGGAGGAAGGCTTATACTTACACGATTATCCTTGATGTATCCATTATGAATAGCAGCAAAAAAACGATGTATTTAAGTTAATTGTGTACATAATATCTCAATTATAAAATCTACCAAGTTTGAGTTCATGAAAGTGTGTTAGGCTTACTGGAATTTCAATGGCATTTGCTATTTTAATGAAGTCAATAAGTGTTAATGAATCCATTCTAAATGAACACACAATTCTTCTTTCCTGGTCTGTGTGGGCTTTGCACACAATCGTACCGTTTGACCTACGTCTTCTGTGACTTTAGAACTGTGATTTCTGACTGCTCTGCCCCTCCTCTGGGTCAGGAGTCTAAGGTGGCAGGCTGGCCCTCTGGGACACTTCCAAGCCATCTACATAGGATGGCTATTTCTCTAGGAGCTGTCCCATTCACACCCCAAGAAATTCTTTAAGAAGCTAACGCTGCAGAGCAAAGGCTGACGCTGAAGTCCTCCCAGGTGCACACAGGACACATCAGTGAGGAACAGGAACACAAAAAAAGAAAAACCATGCTCCATGAGGAATTCTAATGCTTAACAGAAGACTACAATGTTTGATTTACAAGGTACACACCTCTGAGCATCCTCCGAGATTCAGCGTCTTTGGTCATAGTTGCCAGTGAATGAGGAAGCACACTGCCACAGCTGTTGCTCTGTCCCAGCGGCAAGTGACCCTGTGAGAACCAGGAGGGAACACTTCAGGCACACAATCACCAAATGGTCCTTCAGGGAACACTCACACCCCCATTTCCAAAGCTGCTACTTAAATGTAGAGAGAGATATAAGGTATTTTTTTGTGTTCCATTCGTGATGTTAAAGGGTAAAGTCACTGTCCTTCGCAAAAGGTTTCATGGCAGTCTCTACATCACACAACTTCCTCCAAGAATAGCAGTTACATAAGTGAAGGCAGCTGGGGAAGACACTATCTGCAGTTACCTGAGGGACAGACTGAAAGTTCTTCATGCATAAGGAGCAGAGAGTGGACGCAAGGTCAGATATGCATGCATATCATGCAGGCAGGGAGACCTACGCTTGTCCCATTTACCCCCGTCTCACAACAAGGCTGCAAACAGGGAAAACTTACTAACTCCCCACTGGTTTTAGCACTATTTTTAAATGGGCAAAATCTTTCATGTAAACAAAATATTCTTAAAACACCACTTTACACAATAGATTAAAATAAAATTAGTCTGATTAAGAACAGGAGAAGGGCCAAAAGTGTGTCCAACAAAGAATCTCCTTCTCAATTAACTCTTCCTGTGTTCCTGCAATGACTCCTGGGACATGCTAGTGAACTTGAAGGAGGTGCAGAGGGAGACAGCAGGGGTTCATATGCTGGCTCCCCCAGTTGGTACTGAGGGCTCCTGAGTCAGTCACTTGGGTCTATTATAGCTCACTGTATCCTTATGGACAAACAGGACAGTAATTAGTAAGAAGCTCCACTGCTCAGTGTTGCTGGATTTTAAAAGGCAGCAATTCAAACACACTGCTAAACTCCTGTTCTACCCCCTTTCAGGCATGACAAGGTGACCCATAAATACTTGGTCCTGTTATTCCTGGAACTCTGCATCTATAGTCTATCCTATTTCTAAATATGGGATGCAGCCTTGGGAGCCTGTCATGACAGTAAAGGTCACTCATCGCCTTTCACGGTGTTAGAAAATACCTTTGGCTCCAGAAGACACAACTCCAAATATTCTCTGAATGAAGAGACAATTGAATGATGAGGGCTGCCACACAAGCAAATGTAATGGCTCACAACTTAAGTGTTTCTTCTGCAAGGCTTTTGCACGTTGAAGAATGTAAGGAAAAGACTCACAGAAAGTGAGGGCTACGGCTCTTCTGAGTCCTACCTTCGGGGTGTTGCTCCTCCCCATTGTGGCACTGCTGAAATGTGGGGAGATGGAAGGTGTGGTTTTCTTTCGAGGCAAAGTATCACTCAGATAGAGGCCTTCTTTATGCTGTTTTTTCCTCTCTTCCAGACTTCTAAAGTGCTTTAAATGCAAATGTAGAGCAAAATAGCAAAACTTGACTAACAAACAGATCACTGAAGAAATGAAGAATTACGCACTTACAAAGAAGATTTGGAATTTTACCACCTTTTTTTTTTTATTGTTACTCATCCTTTTGCTCTAACAGATTTAGATTATTGTTTGCTGTTACTAAACACTGGAAGAATTTCTTTCTGAACCTACAGCGTTTAAAAAATTCCCCTTTCACTTCTGGAGTACCTGCTGCCCTGGGGTCTCACTTAAAAATTATTATAACGTCATCACATGGAGGGCAGAATAGTCAGTGGCCAAAGCAGTTTCACCCCTAACCTGTCTCAACGGTTCTGTGGTGTGGCACAGATGCCAGTGTGAAGACAACAGAGAGGAGGAACAGGACGAACAAGGGAAGGGCAAGTAAACAGGGAAGCCATCTGAAAGTGGTAATAGTACTTCATCATATGAGCATTCCACGTTCACATGAAGGCCCACAGACGGCAGCATTTTAGGTTACCTCTGCATTTAAAAAGATCTTAAAGTGATCTTACAGTAATAGCTCAGATTTAAAAATCTTCTAGTTGACTATTTTTGCCAAGTGTGATGCTCTAACTACACTATCTCATTCAATCCTATAATAAACCTGTGAGGATAGTACTGTATCATTTTTCTACAAATGAAGAATCTGGGGTGCAGAGAGGTTAAATAAACTTGCCCAAGGTCATGCACCTAGCAAGTAACAGAGCTGGTATTCATGGCCAGGCAATCCAAGTTACAATAATAAAAACTTCACTATTAGTTGATTTATAGCCATTTTAGATTTTTTAAAAATGGCATCAAAACACAGTAGAACACTTTTCCCACTATTACCAATTGTCACAAACTCTGAAATCAAAGCTTCGCAACATTTTATAGTGGTAGCTTAATAGAACAGGCAAGAAACCCCACTGAAAACAGCTTAGGAGAAAACAGATGGGCTCTTCCATGAGCCCAAAGATGTCTTTTACCCTCAGTAAAGCTGCTACTCAGAGAAACAGCAAAGTAAAGATCTCTATCCTTCTATCTCCTAGTTACTCCCTTGTAGACATCATTTGCTGGATTCACTGTTCCCATCAATTCCCTTATATCAACCCAGGCTGCCGAACCTGAGGACAGTAAGGAGATGCAGTCTTTTAACAAATGCTAGTCATAAAGGTATGTTGAAGAAATGGGAAGGGAAGGTCGGTCATAAGAAAGCAGGACTTGAATTCTTTAAGGATGTAGTGAGCATGTAAGTTGAAATCATTTTGAAATTTTGTTTTCAATATCTAGGCACTTATATACTTAAAAAGAATGCATTAAAATAATAAATTATTTAAAAATTTGGTCAATAAAAATTGTTTTTCTACAGATCCAAAGAGCTACTCTTGATGTGACCTTGAACAAGTTATTTAATTAGGCTTAGTCTCAATTCCTTATACTTCTACATGAACATCATTTTTTTCACAGGATAGCTGGAAGGAAATATTTGCTCAGCAAATTTTGACACATCACAAGGGAATGATAATTATTATTACGGTTTCAGCAATGAAACCATATGAAACAATAAAAATATTTTGTGTTGACATGTGAGCTTTTACATTATGGATTTTATGAAAATACTAGCATACTGAGAAAACTTGAGATAAACTGCAATATTTTGAAATGAGAACTGAAGTGTGAAGATGTGAGATTTGCTTAAATATATGAAAAGCCAGTTAAGGACAATAAAGCTCTTGAAACTTTTGAACAATTCCAACCACCCTTGGAATCTACTAAATGTCCTTAAGGAAAACAAAACAAAAAACCCACAAAGGCATATGGAACTTGTCTTTTTAAAAATCATCTTTGAAAAATTTAAGAAGAAACTCTACATAAGTGATTTTGCTACCAAGATAAAATAAAACTCCCGCACTCTGAACATCAGTCCCTAATTACCTGTTGGTCCTGCTGCTGTTGCCGTCTGTGTTTCTTAGCTGGTAGAGGAGGAGGTGTGTCATTTAGAGGGAAAGAATCGACAGATGTAGCCATGACTTCCGGCCAAGGGGCTGATGGAGGTTGAGTGACAGGATGAAGAGAAAGGGTGGAAGGGAACATAAATCCAGGACAGACAGGTGATCTTGGCTTTACAGGAGAAAGAAAAGGTACACATGTGTCCACAGGAAATGAAAAGATGACAAAGAAATGAAATCGATAGTCTGTTCATTCTGTTTCTTTGTGTTAGGAAGTCACCAATGATGAACAAGCTTTCAGCGTAGACTCTTGTTTAAATCCCATGCTGCAATCAACTTGGGTCACTACAAAGTATTTTAATTTACTATTATTGGCTACTCTCAACAATGCTTTTATTATGTAAAAAATGCTTATCATTAAAAAAACAGTGCAAAACAAAATAGAAAACCAAAATCAAACTGGAAAGTGATTCAAATCAAAAGTTTTACACAGGTTTTTGAATTTCTACGAAAACCAAGTCTGGTAGGTGTACTAGCATGCTGACTTGCCTACCTTAAGTCACTTGTCCTCATTCTGTACTCCGTACCATGTATTTCATGCTTTCTAACACTTTAAGTGATGAGCTCAAACCCCTAACTTGTTAAGTTTTATAGACTTGATAACACTGGAACTCTGGCCAAACCAACCTCTATCTGTCACATACATTTTCGTCTCACTTGTTGTCCACTACCCATGGGTTAATTCTGACATGAGCAACAGCGGTGAATGAATGGAATGTTGTTCCCACACACCTCTGGACTCTGGGGCTGGCTCACCGGCACAGCTGAGGCAGGCTCAGTGACAGCAGCGTCAGCGTCAGCGTCAGCATCAGTGGGGAACTGAGTGGAAGGGGACAGATTCGTGGAATGGCCAGATGGCTCATTAAATTCATTTACACTGAGATAGCCCTAAAAGGAGGAATTGAGAAGTTAGACACACAGAAAGCAAAAGCAGAGGCATGCGAGAGTATTAATGTTCCCAGTACAATGGAGTTAGCCGAGAGTGCCACAGCCAGGTATCTGGGTATTATCAAATGTTTCATTAAGAGGATAATTAGCAATTAAAATGGATTCATGGTGCTTAGTCTTGAAAAATGGCATTCTAAACATTAACTTAATTCTTCCAGTAAAATCAAGATGATTCTATTGTAAATGCTACACCTTCAAATTGAAAATATCCAGAGGGACATCAGCATTCATTCTGTGGATGAAATGAGGTTGTCACTATACATACATTGAAAAAAATCACACATCGAGAGACGCCCAAAACAAAATTGACAATGCAATCACTCACTCCCTAATTCAAGAACCTTTTCCACAAATCTTCCCTCTGAGATTTTTCCCATCTTTTGTTTCTTGATGCATTAGTGTGTCAGCAGAAGTGGGCTGAAGGTTACCAGATTTTCCCCTAAGAGAACATTTATAAAACTGTAATTTATTTATAATGGAATTTAGCTTTGCAGCGTGTCAACTGAATGAAAATTAAAAGCAGTGTTCTCATTCAGGTGAGCATGCAGACATAGACAGACACACACACACACACACAAACACACACACACACACACACACACACACACGACACATACACCCCTAATGTAAACTTGAGACTCAGTGGTATTTCAATTCAAGGCATTTTCCCCAACCTCCAACTGTTCCCTTAGAACACAGAATTTCAGTTCTGGGTTCAGCTTAGAGAAAATACCCATGAACCAGTATCTCTGAAAATCAAATGTATTTGTGGAAAAGGTCCTTGTAAATTTTCATGCAAAGTAATTATAAAGATCAATCATGATTATTTATTTTCTGCCCTACTAAGAAAGCACTGTGAAAAAGAATAAAGTACATAAAATAAACCTCTCTTTTAAAAATGAAATGGAGTTAAGTTTGACAGCTGGGCTCTTTCATTAGCTCATTAATGTTTTCAAAAAGTGACCCCAGAATAGGCAAGATACTGTGTTGTGATGCTGTTGAAGGAAAAACTCTATGTGAGAATCAATTTTTGCTGAGAACTTTTGTGACAAGGAGAAGAAAGCTTAGAGTTCAATGGTATCAACTGGATGTATCAAAGTCATGTACTTCCAAAAGGGCTGTGGATAGTACATGAAGTCTTAGAAGGTTAAAACCAAAGAAGGGAAGTAATTAACTAGATTGTCACATTTCACTTTGTACATGATAGTGAATTGGGAAGAAAATTAGCAACTCTGAATTATTCTTTTGCTCAATTGATAGACTATTGCAAAACTAAGGATTGAAATTCCTTAAATGGTTATAGCTCATGCAACTCAATTGCTTCAAAGGTGTGTGCTATCTGTTAAAACTGGGAGTTTTTTAAAAATCCCAGTCTCCCCTTTTAAACTTATTCCTTGCTGTATCATTTCTATGTCAGTAAAAGATCCCATCAGTCGCACTGTTTTAACTGGAATAGTGGGTCTCTGGACACTTCTTTTTATTTACTTCACCACCACATCCAACCTATCAGCAAGAAGTTTTAATTTTACCACTAACATTCACTACAGAACTCCTAAAACTTTTCTCTACCTCTCTGTTGCTCTAATTTAAGCCTCAGGATCTGCAGCCTGCACTACTGCGATCACCCCATATCCCCCCTACATCTCCTACATCTTAGAATCCAACAGTCAGTGAGCGGCCTACAGTGATCTCTGACAAATGGTCTCAAATAAGGTCACCACCTATTTAAAGCTTCCCATCACACAGATGAGCTGCATTTCATGACCACGACTCACAAAGCCTGCCCCTTCCCACCTCACGACATTATCCGACACCACTACACTCCCTTTACAACCACCTTAAGTCTGCCAGCTCTATGTTCTGATGATGGACACAAACTACAAAACTGAATGATATAACAAAGCTACTGTAGACACACTTCTTAAAAAATGCTTGAGGCATACATGCCTCACACCTATTATTGTAATGAGCATTTTATTTTCTATACCCCATGCCATACACTGTTTTCTTTGTAAAAATTCCTAACTCTGCTCTTTCTTATACACAACTTATAAATAAAAGCAGTTTTGGGATTGTACAAATTTTTATGTAGAGGCAAGCTTTCCCCTTAGCTGACAAACATAAGAAAATATATAGAACACAATTTTCTTTTTCATCTAGCATTATAATTTTCCAACTCAGAATTAAAAGTTGTATCAGTGAAGCTTAGCGAGGAGATATGGATGGACAGGGTGTATAAAGCTGAATATAAGTATGAGTTCCCAACTAGAAGAGAAAGTTCCAAAAATAACACTGGGAAGAGAAATGAGAAATCACGTTATCTTCTCAAATATTTCAGGGTATTATCCTGTTTCTTAAAACTGAGGAGAAAGGAGTAAAATAAAAGAGAAGGAGTGCTAAGATTACTAAAAGAAAAGCAGAGAATGTCAAGTTCTTCTTGGTCTAGATGCTAGAAGGTTCTAAATGTTTTCCAAACTCCAAGACACCTAGGTCCCTGCCAAAAAAAGTAGACACACACACAGACACACACACAGACACACACAGGGCACATGCATGTTAGACACAAAGATAATTTCTAAAATCCTCAAAGCATACAGCAAAAAAAGGTAAGAAAACCATCAAAATATTGAGTGCCTTCACGAGGCATTTAAGATCATCTTTTTACTACTCAACTAAAGGCACATCTCCTTTATTGCTAAGGACACATACAAAAACTCATGGCTTACCTCTTTTAAAGTATTAGGGTTAACAGGAAACCCTTTCCCCCCAGAGAGGCTGGAGTATTTCTTTTCCAGATTACAAAGATTCTCCTTTTCCTGAGGAAACACAACATCTATTAGGCTTAGAGTTAACCTTGGACAAACTGAGCAGAACAGCAAGTTTGTATTTCACACAACATCAAGATGCTACACACGTGCCCCATTTCTAGTTCCTCTGCTCATCTTCAGTCAACACTTTTCACTGTAAATATCTCACCATCCACTAACTGGTATGATCCATGCATTATTTTCAGTGTAGTTACTTTCTTTTTTTTTTTTTTTTTTGTCTTTTTCCTTTTTATTGGTACCGGGGATCGAACTCATGACTGCTTGCTTGCAAGGCAGGCGCTTAATCCGCTGAGCTAAATCCCCAGCCCCTATAGTTACTTTCATGTGTTTAAAAAAAAGAATTGAAACTCTGTTTGAAGCAAAAATAAGAGGCACATTCTGAGTCTTTTACAAACCTTATCTTTCACATATTTTCTAAAGTAAATTTTTTATCCTTTTAAGAAACACATCCTGATGTGTCCTTTGGTATCTAGTGTCACAACCCAACAATATATTTTCTTCTGGAAGCTTTGTGATAAAGCAACTTTATGATCTCAAAACTGTGGGCCTATGATCCATCTTTAGTTAATCCAGTGGTTAGAAACCTTCAGAAAAATATTTATGGGTCACATTCTTTATTTATTGCAGTATAATCTATGTACACGGAAATGCATAAATCTAGTATATAATTTCACAGCTTTTAACAAATGGAACAACATTCCAATCAATATAAAGACCATTGTCATCCCCCCAAAAGTTGTCTCATACCTTCCCAGTTAATCCCTATCCCAATGGGCAGCCCTTGTTCTGACCTGCTGTACGCAGGTGAATCATACAATATACAGTCCACTGTGCAGCTGCTTTCTCCTCCACAACATTGCACGAATCTACTGTTCACTCTTTTATTGCTGAAAAGTACTATATTATATATGTGTACCCAATACCCTGTTTATTCATGTACCTACTGTTAAATATTTTGGTTGTTTCAAGGTCCCCCCCCCCTTTGGTGTTATTTTAAAAAGCTACTTTAAACAGTCTCATATATCTTTTTTATGAAGAGTTATTTTTATTTCCCCTATGTAAATGTCCAGGAATAAAACTGTTAGGACAGGCTGAACATATGTTTAAAGATACAAGACAGACTACTAAGGATTCTCTGAAAGGGGTGTACATTTTATTCACATCCGCAGTCCATGTAAGTTGACTTCCTTGCTGACATTTGCAAATTTTACTTTTAGACTTTAGTCATTTTAGGCGGGGTGACATGAATCATATGATTACTTTAATTTACACTTCCTTGATGACCAATGATGAGTATTTTTTCATGAGACTTACTGGTCCTTTGTACACCTTCTTCTATAACATTACTGTTCAAGACTATTGCTGACTTTTTAAGTTTACTGATGATTATTTATTTATTTATTTATTTATTTATTTATTTATCGGTACCAGGAATCAAACTCACAACCACGCGCTTGCAAAGCGGGCGCTTATGCCGCTGAGCTAAATTCCCAGCCCCTAATTATTTATTAAGGTGTAGGAATTTTTAATATGTTCTAGACATAACTGTATCTTTGTAATTTTCTGTAAGAAATCTTTATCCATGACTCCAGGATATTTGTATATTTTCCTTCTGGAAGCATTGTCATTTCAATTTTTTTATTTAGGTCTAAAACCTGACTTTAATTAATTTATAAACGTAATCTAAGGATGCTGATGTTTCCATAGTTACATACTTGATCCATCTGTTGAAAAGATTTTCTGTTCCCTACTAAAGTGCCTCCGAACGTCTGTCCAAAAAAATCAATAGTGTATGAATGGCCTATTTCTGGACTCTCATTTCTACTCCATTTATCTATATGTCTATTTTTATGCAGACTGTTTTAAATACTAGCTTTGTAATACAACTGCAAGTGAGATAATATCATCTTCCAACTCTTTTCTTGTTTAACAGTTGTTTTGGTTAGTGCAGATTCTTTGCTTTTTAATATATAGAAGATAGCCGTTATTTGTCATAGTTATATTTTATAATATTATCACAAACATTGGATTATTGTTCCTGGAGGAACTCAAGGAATGTGTTCCCGTGAGCCTCTGGCCACAATGTCTTTGTCACCAATCCATAACAACTCTGTGCTGTGTGTCCCCCACTCCCCTCCTCACTCCGCAGTATGGGGAACTGAACCTAGGAGTGTAGCGCTACATCCCCAGCCCTTTTTATTCTTTTAAGACAAGGTGTCACCAAGTTGCCCAGGCTGGCTTAGAACTTGGGGCCCTCTTGCCTTACCCTCCTAAATAGCGGGGATCACAGGCATGCACCACCTTGCCTGTCGTGTGTTTCGCTTGAAGACTTGGGCCTGAGTGAAGCCTATTTAACACATATATTTCCTCTATTAAGATACATCACGGTCTTCCTAGACTTGGGGACACTAGACGGCACTCACTATGCTTGGAAGACATTCAAAACAGTAAAATCACTGCAACACTAAAATGTGAAAACTGGCCTTAAACATCCTCTCTGAAAAAGACAACTGTTTCCAAGATGCGAACTAAAGCAGGAAGGCAGGGTGTTGCCACAGCCCTGTTCAGCCTCAGCTAGGAACGTACATACGGGTGAGTCAAACTTTTCACTGCTCTACACATGTACGTGAATGACTGCAAAAGCACCAAAAGTGTTGACTGAGGAGTTACAAACGTATTTTAGCAGGCAGGTGAAGTGAGAATTATGGAATCCATGAATAATGAGGAACAATTATAAATTTTGACATCAACTTGTCAATTTCTACAAAGAAAAAGTGTTGAGATCTGGAAACTGAAATGTATCTATAGATTAAGGGGGAAACAAAATCTTATTGGGTATGGAGCACGATTTTTAAAATCAAGTCATATTTTGCATATATTTTAATGAGTAAGTATTATATCTGTAATTATCTTTTACCTGCTTGTGGGGTTTTATCATTTAAGAGTTTTTTCCTTTTCCTAGAATTTTAACAACTACTGAAATACATATACTATTTCATTTATGCTGAGCCTTTAAATACTTAGCTTTTTTTTCTATTAGTACATGTTTACAATATATAATGATCACACTCACCGAGGGGAATTTATACACACAACAAAACACATCTTCCTTCATTTTTTTTTTGAAATGCTTCCACATTTCCAAAAGCTCTTTCCATCAACTCTTTTTATAGCTCAGTGGCACAGTGCCTGCCTGGCAAGTGCGAGGTCCTGAGTTCACCTCCCAGTACCTCAGTAAGTAAATCCCTTTCCTCTTCCTTTCCCCTCCTTTCCCATCTCTTGTTCCCTACCCATTTGAAAAAGTTCTTCTGACACCCTAATACCTATCTTCCATGTTATGTGCCTGTGAATGTTATATGCAAAGGGTAAAATGGTTGCAGCGATTAGAGCAGGGCTAGGGCCGTGAAGTACAGCTCCATTCAGAGATTTCCAGGGGACTGTGTCAGGGAGCTGTGGCCCCAGGGTACCACAACAAATGGACTCACTTTGTGTGAAGGCCTATTTCCTCCTTTTTAACTGATAAGCAGCCCAAAAGGGATTGTTCATTTCTTATAGATGGGACCGCGGTACAGGCGCATCCTTCAATCTTGTTCTGGAATTTGATCCATCTCCTGTATGCCCTTCTGAATCCATCACCTATTTTCATATTCCCAGTGTCATTTCCCTATGTAGCCTCTTGCACCCTGGGCTTACACCTCTGGTCAGCCCCATCAACGTTGGTTAATATTTGGTGTCATCGAGCATCATGTCAGAAAGCTAAACTACAAGTTGCTTTTTACTCTCTGTGTCTGAAGGACGCCCTCATATGTGGTCACAGGCAGGTGTTGCAAGTGGTAAGAACATAGTCCCTTGGGTGAAAATGATCTCACCATGCTTTCACAGTCACACTAGATGCACTGTCTGCAAATAGGATTAAATCAAACCAACTTCAGTGTGGGATTTTCCAGGAAGAAACATACATATAAATAATTGAAGTTTAAATACTGGAATAGATGAGCCAAAATATTTCATAGCAATAGAAAGAGCATTTTTCCTTACATCTGTTATAAATTAGCATTAAAAGACCATATATGTTAGCTATTTGATGTAAAATTTGATTTGTTTCAAAGAGGAAAATAAGATAAAGTATAGATTTTCCATAGTGTGGATTTTTCACAATGTGGAAAAAGCATGCAGAGATTTTCTGAATTGTTGTTAATCACTCACAAAGTATCAGCCTATTAATATGGGAAGATTAAACAAAAATATATACACAAAAACCTTCCTTAAATTAACAGGCATTCACTATTAAGAAGGATTTATTTTCAAAGAGGAGGCCTTCTCCATTTTGGAAGGTGTGTTCTTATTGTAACAGTGCTGAACGGGAAATACTTACTCTTTGTATCATCATTATTAAGTTACTCTTTTCTTTCACAAAGTGATCTTGTTCTCTCTGAGCCTGCTGAACAATGTGATTGGCTTGCTTTTTTAAGGCAGAAATTTTCTCCTGGAAGAAAAAGGGTGATTACAGAAAGATGCACATTAGATGAAATTCAAGGAGGAGGAATTCTGCGTTGTTGTTCTTACTGCTGTTGTTCTACCACTGTGATTAACAGTGACCATGTTTTATCTGTTGGTGGGCAGTTATTACTACTCAGAAGCCACGAAACCTCTCTGTTTGTCTGAGGGCTCAATGCTTTTCTTTTTCTTTCTTTCTTTCTTTCCTTCCTTCCTTCCTTCATTCATTCCTTTCCTTTGGTTTTTGATTTTTGATCTTTTGAGATAGGGTGTTGCTATGCAGTCCAAACTGGACTGGAACTTGCTATGTAAACCATGCTAGGTTTGAAGTTACAATCCTGTAGCTTCCCTGAGTCTGATGTACAGACAAGCATCATAAAGTCTAGCTCTCAACTCCTTTCTTTATTTAAGTGCAATACAGTTCAAGTGACTTAAAATCTACTTTGAAGAACCCAGAAGTCAAAGGGTTGTTTTAGACTATCAACGAATCTGACATTAGGTTGGGAGATACCTGATGGGAAGAAAACACTGGAATTTCGTATTTAAACAGAGAGGTGAAAAAGTCATCTTGTTTACCTTTCTTTCTCTTTTATTACTTAATTTTATCAGGTTAGTATGGAATTGTGGGATGTAACACTAAATTCTGGGCTGGCCATCCAGGAACTACAGGCTGAGTGGACTCCGCAGAATTAATATGGTATTCTCATAAGCTACTTCTAATAGTAACAAATTATCAGCTGGATTTGGAAATTATGAGCTATGGAAACAAAATTTCAAAGTAGGCGTGGTTCACACAATTATTCTGAATTTACTTACTGTAGTTATAAAAGGAAGTAATTTAAAGCAAGTATCTGAATTTCTGATTTCTATGACTTGCTTTTTATATAAATGAAAAAATACTTATTTTTTTCATAAATGCATGCATAGCATTATACAACAACGACTGTAACCCATCTCACTTTATCTAGATCAGAATACCACTTGTTATCCTATATGGCAGGCTCCATAGTTTGTCAAATGTGATACAATTAAATACATGAAAATGTTCAGATATAAAAATACACACACACACACACACATTGTAACTGTATGAATGATCACTATTGGCACATAGTGAGGAGAATACTTTGATTTTTCACTAAACATCACCTGCACAAAGTACCTTTCTACTGACGATGTTCCGCTGGTATTCAGCCACTTCACGTAGGAGCTGCTGAGTTAAGTTCTCCTTTTCCTCATCCAGACGGCTCTCGTGTTCCAGCTGTTGGAATTCCAGGTCTTCAAAGTGTTTGCTTTCAACATCCAACAGGTCAGCATCCTTTGGAAAACAGGGAGTGAAAACAAGATATGCCAGGCTGGCTGTAATCATCGTAACTGAAGAAACAGTTACCAAAAGTATTTGGTCTCTAGCACCCGCCAGGGTTAGAGCCCGAGGGAGTCCAACTCCAGAACAGCGGCCGCAGCGTGGACTGGAGAGGGCAGCAGGAGCTTCCCCAGAGGTTCCAGCTGCTCTGCGCATGCAGGAGTTCTTAATCTGCCAGGTAGCTTTAAGATGCACAGTGAAGTATAAAAACAATTAGATAATTAGCATAAATATTATTTACAGAACGAAAATGAGATATAAACTCTTAAAATTCTTTCCCACAATTTTCGCAGGAAATATGAAATGAAACTTTAGTGCAGAGATTAAAGATTCAAAAGTTAGCATATATATACATATAAACAAGAGGTCTTTTAAGGGAATGAGAAGCGAAACTATTAGACTTTTTTGCTTAGAATCTAAAACTGCTCTTAAAAAAAAAAAAACCTACTAAAAACATTTGGAGATGAAAGCTTTTAAACTGTGCCCATGAAAATTATTTACAAATCTTTTTACTGGAAAATATAGTGCCAAAGTTTTCTTCAAGCACAAAAGGTCACTAAAAAAGTTAAGCACCATTATTCTGAGAAGACTCTGGAGGACATTTTAAAAAGTCAGAAATGACCTAAATCAGATGGGTTAGGACAAGTCTTCCTACCTATAAGACACTTGGAAACAGTAATGTGTTCATGCATCTGCATTCATGTGAGGGGTGGTTATATAAATTATTCTCCAGTTCACCTTGTAAAGCACATCTCTTTAATTTTGGAGCGCTAACAACTATATATGTGGTACTATAAAATAATTTTTAAATTATAATTTACAAATGATCAATACCAAAATGAAAAGGCAGTTAGGCAATGTAATTAACAATTTTTACATAGCTAAAAGAGACAAGATATTTTGTTGCTCAATTAAATCCTCAGACTACTAGAAATATAATGATACGATAAATGAGCTCTATCTCGCTACTCAACCCCAGCCTCTTCTGATTTTTATTCTATGAATAATTAAGGTTTTTAGTTCAATGGAATATATTTCTATCTTCAGCAATGAATTAAATTCTAGGGATGACTCAGAGATTATTATGTAAGGCAGACTACATTCTTATAATTTAAAAGCATAAAAAACATATGATTTGAAAAACCTAAAAAAAGAAAAGAAAAATCTATTCCGCATTTCTTAAAATCTCTTTACATTTTATTTGGCTTTAAAAAAAGTGTGGTCTTGATTTTATGTTTTTGGCTAGTATTTCCAGTTTTCCAGGTATTTTAAATTTATAATTTCTAAATAATTAATTCATTAGAGGAATTAAGAAATGAAGTGACAAGTATTGTAAGAAACAAAGTATCTGCAGTCTTGAAATAATGTACTAGCCAATGTATTCACTCACACAGGAAGGTACACCCAAGTTTTCAAGTTTTTTTTTAAATAATCCTATAAATAATCTTAAATAATAAGACGACGGTTAAGGGGAAAAAAGCTCTTTTTTTTTTTTTTTGGCTTTTAAATAATCTTCATCCAGTTTAGGCAGCTGGCTCCTAACATATAGATTTATTCACTATGCTGGTCCATTGCTTAGTCCACATCTGGTTAATATATAACATGTTATTTTAAGCCTGCATGAAGGCCAGAGAGACAATAATTTACTTGTAGTAAATATTTAAACTACTGAATGAAAATAATAGCACACTGGGAAGAAAAGTTGAAAATTAAGCTAGACTCAGTACTCAAAATTCTGCTGATCAAGCTACCTAAACTTTTAAAATATGTGTATATAAACTTACAGTCTTACAGAAAACCTATTTAAGAGCAAGGTAAGCCTTTGAAAAGATTTTAGATAAGAATAAGAATTCAAAGAATGTAATTATAGGGGACAGAAATAGCTTAATTGAGACCAACTAATATATACAGGAAGCTCAAAGTCAAATACATTGACCAACTGAGTGGATTCAAACTAAACTCTCATTAAAAGCACAATGCATATACTGGTTGGTAAGCTCAAGGGCCAAGCACAAATCAAAACAAAACAGGCACTAAAAATATTCTACATATTCCTTTCTTCTTTCCATTAACTGTTTTGAGATTATAAGGCAGAAGTTCACATGCAGGGCCTTATAATTTCTTTGCCTAAGAAGGGACAAAAAGAAGAGAACATGCCAGGGCCAGTAATGATTGTGAAAAAAAATCTCATGATCTCTGGAAGCAAATCTAGATGCGATTCAGTTTGTTAACTTTTCTCCATCTTCTGCTCGGTGGTCAAACACTGTACACTTTTGAAATATGGAACAAGATAGCAGTACAGCTTCCTATACACTTCCAATGAGTGTATGGAAGCCCACAGAAGTGGAATGACTTTTCCAAGCCTCCAGGATAAACTGATATTAGAGCCAGTGATATAAAAATGGCTTTCTCATTATAAGATCACGACCTAGATCCAAAGCAACAATTTAGTTGAGCAAATATTAAAAGCAAAGGAAAACTGCCCAAGCCAGTTATCTGTCTTCTCCACTTAACAGTGGACCATATCCTGGCAAATGAAAGACTTATTTAAGTTCAGTTTCCTTTTCCACACTGGGAGAATGCCAGGATTGATGAGTCCATACTGACTACACAATAATCATAAGTCATGAAATTAGCGACAGCTAAAAACTATGCTTAAAGATTCTAAAGGAATATTTTAAAGATAAGAAGTTCAGCCATAAGAATTTAATGTTTTATACACAAGATCATCACATAATCTCAACGTAAGTATTAGGACAACATGAAGTTTGTAAAAGTGATTTTCCTCCTGCTCATTTATTTGTTTATTTATTTTATGTGACCTGCCACCTAATGAGATTAAATGTAATAAATTTTTATCAAATCTTCTTTAAATACTTTCAGAAAAGCTTTGTAATGAAGTGGTACTAGGAAATGCCTGAAATCTGAAGAGAAATGAATTGTGACAACACATGAAGTCTAGTATGAATGGACTTGCTGTGAATTTTTACTGATTAAGCCCGTTTACTGATTAAGCCCGATGATTGATGAAGAGTTACACCGGTCATCATCCCTGGAAAACAGAGTAGTAGATACTTTATAATCAGGTTGGTAGAAGCTATAAAACTCTTTTATCTCTGCTGTGCAAAGAGGTTTTATGATAAGAACTTTATACCTTGCATGAAGAGGAAGGTAAAAGAGCTTTTGCCTTCATTTAATGGAACATTGTCTGCCTTGTTTCCTTGTCTATTTTATAGTCAAAATTCTTAGAGCATATATAAATTAATGAATTTTCCAATAAAATCCAGATCATACAAATAGAATTTGTATTTAACTGAGTCCAGGTTATTAATAAACTTTTTGGCCTTTTCTTTCGAAACAATTATAAAGAGCACAATTGATAATAACTAGAAAAAAAGAAAAAATGTATCACCACAATGATGATCTTAAGAATTATGACTGTGTAAAATCACAGTAAGGCAGACTGAAAACAGTAGACAAATATAAAATTCACACCAGGCATAGTGATGTACACCTGGAGACTGAGGCCAGAGGATCACTGGAAGGTGGAGGCCAGCCTGGGCTACATAGCAAGATCCTATTTCAAAAAAACAAAAAACAGAAAAACCATAAACAAACAAAACAAAATTTTAAAAACCCAAAGTGTATGTGTATATATATATATATATATATATATATATATAGAGAGAGAGAGAGAGAGAGAGAGAGATATTCCAGTTTTCTTATCTCTTATCAACTGGTATAAACACAACTATAAACTAAAATAACAAACACTAATCCTTTCCCAATCATTTGTATCACAAAATGTGTAGAGAATTATGGCAACGAGAGATAGGAAATTTTATCTTCCTACAGAAAATTCAGCTTTACTGAATGAAAATGTATAAAAAGACATACTGTTGAAACTTTCTTTGCTTTAACACTATAAGAAATAATCATTAAATTGTTATGTGGCCATTTAACCTGCCTGCACCCGAGACTCATTAGGATGCTTCCAACCTCACCACTACGTACTTGTTTTAACTGTAATTCTTTAATGTCTAGTGATACTCTCAGAAGCATCAAGTATATTAAAGGTCATCTTAACATTTTTGAAGTTTGTTATCTAACCAGTTTTTTTATCTGCTCATTAATGAGATGGTACAGACAGAATATGAATAAAATTACCCATGTTGACTGGCATAAAATCACAAATTGTTACTCACTCAGGACAAACTGCATGATTCCTTTAGAGGTTTGAGACTGTTAATGACCGATTCTCTGGGATCACAGCTGATCAGAGGAAACAATTCAGTTGTCAAGGGGCTGTGAAAAATTAAGTGGTCACGCCAGTGTCTGTTAAATTATTTGCATATGAGGTCTCCTTTCAGCAGATAACCAGCAAGGTTGTGTTGAAGGCTCCCAGAATTAGGGATAGGAGAATAACCAGATAAAATTTAGTTAGAAGATATATGTTGTAATAAGCTTTTAAAATATAGGATGTTCACATGAGAAGATGGTGAGGGCGTTCACGATGCCCTCTTCTTGGATCTTAGTGTTTTCCTGCTCTAATCACACTCATGACTTCAATGTCACTAAGCAGCAGAAAGAAAGAGAATAAAAGAAAAAAAAATGAGTAAAAGTGGAGGGCAAATCAGAGACTAGAATAATTTTGGGAAAAGAATAAAAAGTCAAGCTAAGGAAAAATAATTCAAGGGCAACTAGTACTTACAATACAGCAAAGATTACAAGGAAAGATGTCAGTTGACTTAAATGCCACAAACTTGGTGTCTGTCACAAGTCTTACTTCTAAAGAACAACTCCAGAAGAGCTTTTGCATTATAAATTAGGAGAAGGATTCTAGTATGGAATGTTTAACTCAATAGCACAGAATAATATATACTATTAGCATCTTTATTTTTATTTAGACAGTGTCTAATCACTACAACTTACCTAAATTTACGCTACGCAAAGCAGTAAGTCAGGTACATGAAACTTAATCAGAAACAAATGAAACAAAACAAAACGAAACAAAAAAGAAGTGGTGCACTCCTGTTTGCTACTGACCCTCTTCAGTTGTTGCTGTAACTGTTCCCTCATGGACTCAGGACAATTGTCCAGCTGGGTCTTCTGCTCGGAGTAAAGCTCCTGAAGCCTCTCTAGTTTTTCCCTTTCAGCATCAAGCTTTACCTTCTCCTGAAGTTCAGAAATCAGAAAATAGAAGAATAGAAATTACCTTTCACACCCAGGCAGGTGCTAGTGAACATTTCCAAAGGATAACAAACATACACATGTGCTACAATGTAGAAAAACAACTGATTAGTGATTAAAGGGGCATAAATGGAAGTTAAGGAGGTCCAGATTCTGCATCCCAACACAATTCATTTAACTAGGTGTGACAATGAGCCATCCTTCTTTTCTTCCATCCTTCCTGCCACCAAGTTACAAAGGCAGAAGCAATGGTAAGAGTGAATATTGGTCAGTGGCTGAGAACAGCAACAAAAAAGGCCAACCAAGTCCACATTCACTTGAAAACAGTCACTTGTGGAAAATGGGTATTTATTTACCTTGAAGACTATCATGGTCCAATTTCCTCGAGGCTCTTGCTAATGCAGTTTTGGAAATTACTAAAATTACTGAAATTTGTTCTCAAGTTAGAGGCACTTTGATGCACTAGTCAACTATCAATATTCAAGTCATTTCAAATGTTCTAGCTAGTTGGAAAGCTTCAGGGTCTAACCAATTAAAAATTTTCATTATCAAAAGAGTTTGTAATTCAGAGGCTAGGAAAGCTAGTATAAAGGCAACACTAACAAAGTAACCAGGGAGCAGAGACACATCAAAGCTGTGACACTGGGAAACACAGACTTACAATGAATGATACAAAGAAATTAATCGAAACATCACCGTGAAATCTAGGTGAGATACTCAGGAGCCATAAAAAAGAAAAGAAAGAAGATAAGGTTAAGCCCCTCCCAAGTCACACATGCCAAGGTGACCCTGGACATTCTCTAGGATGTAACAGGTAAAATACTATAACTGTCTTCTTGACTTTTGGTCATTTTATGATGCTGTGAACGTTTTAAGCAAATGTTAGTCTTCATTGCCTAAAATCATGTGTAATGCTTTCAACATAAATATTATGAAGCTCTTTGATGATTCCACCTTCACTAAGTACAAATGCCATTTTCCTGTGGTTCTCTGTGTAAATTGGTAGAAATAAAACTACTTAATCCTAAGCAGATGGCAGGACTTTTAAAAAGGATGAACCTCTGAATTAGTCCAATGAAGTCATATTTCCTATAATTTGTTTACCTAAATGACATGATTTCCTGTATGAACACAGATTGTTGACAAAAGTTATTGTTCAATCTATAACTATATGACATTGATACCTACGAGTTCTCTTGAGTCTCCGTGTTTGATTTAATTTTTAAATTTCAAGAGTACTTTAAAAGGTACATATATATGTATGTAAGTTAAGAAATGTATATTTTCCTTGAAAAAATTAAATTCAGACATCATAGCCTTGTGAATATTTCAGATAACAATATAAAAGGAATGTACAATAACTCAAGCCTTAACAGTCTATAAGTGAGGTTTCTTCAGGTTTTAACAGTACGTTTGTTCACTGTGCACATCTGCAGAACAGGAGTTGGAGAAAGCATGTCAAAAGAGAAAAGAATTCTCAAGTGTTAATCTACAGTAAGGCTGAATATACTACTACCTGTTAGACTTAGTCATTTGTCTCACAATTAATGTTTTTCTTCTAATGAAACAAGCAATACATAAGAAAATGTGTTATTTCCTATGTATGGATAAATGATTACCTGATTTAAACAGAATCTTATCCAAATGAATCCTATTCCTTGATACTGTGTCACCAGACTTCTAATAGTTCTAGCTCTGAACAGAAGGTTAAAAAAATTACTGAATGTAATTAAATAATACATAAGCAAAGTCCTAAAATTTAAAGTTTTATGTGACAGATAATACACAATATTAGATAATATGGAAAGCCACTGCCCTAAAACACAGGTCCCCAAAAGAGAAAGTACTAAACCATTGCTCCAAGACACTTGATTTTTTAAATTGCAAATAATAAGTACAAGTAAACAACTAGTAAATAATACCTCATGTTTACATAATGCCTTCCTTCTGAGATACTCCAAACGTTTCACAATTCCACACAAGGTGGCAGTAAAAAGAATTATGCAAGCAGGCACCATTTGAACCTTCTGCATCTTCTCTGAGGTTTCCAGGTAATGCTATGAACACTATCTGGGTCTCAGAGCAAAAGTGGGGTGGGGCCCAAGCTAGGGCAGAGGAAGTGTGAGGGGAAGGAAGCAAGAAGCCCAGGAGCAGGTGGGCTATTTCCTAAATCACAGAGGACCACAGAGGTGAGATCACTCTTGTGAGAGCCAGAAGTAGAACGGCTATGAGCCAAAAAGAAATTAATATGCCTCTCCTCTATTCATTGCTCAGGAAGTTTTCAAAAGAAAATTAGCTAGAGGTAAGCATTTAACTAGAGCCCAAAGTATCACCTTCCATAATGAAGTTAAAATAGATACACAAAATAGATGGCATTTGAGAATTCAGAGATTCTTGCCTTTTATATGGGAAATTTTAAAACCATTAGTCTCTTTTTCCAGTTTAAAGCTAGTCAATTACGAACACAGTGACATTTTCCAGACACCAAAGGAAACAGTATAGCATCTATTTTAAGGAGCATAAATCTACTTTCAAGAAATAAATGAATTTAAATGTACTTTAGTAAAGTTAACAATTCCACCTCGTTGAAAAAACACAGTAATAGAGAATTGGAATACTTCTGTGAAATTCACATGTACATAAGAGCATTTATAAAACCAAAAACAAAATGAGACTTTCTAGAGGCAACATGCTTCTCTTAGCACTGTTCTGGCATTGACTTATCTTCTCTTGATGGTCCAGTCCAACTGGGGCACAAATTCATGGAGAGATTCTCTATCTTGTACATTTAAGGCTGATGTTCCTAAAGTTCCATATTCATAAAGGACAATGATAGATTGTACATGGGTAAATTATGATGGAAGTCAGTACACAGAACTAGACCTATACAGATGTCTTTCTCCATCTTGCAGGTATTGGCTGTGGGACACTCAATGATACCCAAACCCATGGATGCTCCAGTCCCATATAACATGGCACAGTATTTCACATGGCCTATGTTCATCCTTTGTTGTATATTTTAAGTCAATTCTAGATTATGACAACTTAAACTCTATGTAAATAGTTGTTATACTGTAATATTTAGAGATTAATAGCAAGAAAAATTCCATACATGGTCACTACAGATAAAATTTTTTTCAGTATTTTCAATCCTTAGTTGAGTTGGTGGATAGGACCCAAACTATACAGGTGGTCAGATGCTTTTGCCTTTGGAGTTAGTTGTTTGTTCATTCAAGACTCTTTTTTTTTTTTTTGTCTTTTTTGAAATGAGGTCTCACTATGCAGTTCAGGCTGGCCTTGAGCTCACTTTGTAGCCCAGGCTGGTCTCGAACTCGAACCTCAGCCTCCCGAGTGCTGGGATTACAGGCGCGAACCACCACGCCTGGCTGTTCATTTACTACTCAGTAAAGATTAAAAGAAGACTACAGGTAGAAAAAACAAGAGAACTTGATCACTGTCCTTGAGCAGTCAGTCCTTTAGCTCTGCAATGCCCATATTAGAATAAACTGAGTAAGTTTTTAAATATATTATTTCCCAGGGACTTAATCACAAATCCAGGGATTTAAAGTCTAACAATAAGGATTTTAAAAATATTTTGAAATTTTATACTATGGAGTCAGGCTGAGAACCACTGGCTTAGCCAACCAGGATTATGTGAGAGACAAAAATGATTGTATTTTGATTTTTGTTTCTAATGACAGCGCAAGATAATAACTCGACTCATCAAAAATGTTCGTAAAATACTTGACCCTGATGCCTTTTTTACTTTATAATGTAAAAAGCCCTCTCTCACAACTAGTATGCCAATTATACTTCTATATTCAAATTAAGTATCTCTAATAAATCAGTGATCAGTGACAGGTTTCAATATCTAATATTCATTCAGAAAAGGATGACAGATTTCAAGTTCTCATGAAAAGTGCCTACTTTCTAATTATGTAAGTGATTAGATATGGTTGTAAGTTTATCCTAGTTAATCCAAATTGCCAGTACAACACACAACTTTGAAAATAATGATACACAGTAAATTGACTATTATTATTGTCATTATCTTATTATAAAATCTTATTATAAAATTATAAAATTATCTTATTATAAAATTCTATACAAGAGGTTTTTCTGTAAAATTTTAAAAAAAGGATTGTCACAGGACTACTTATTTTGGTAGATTTGTGTTAGAAAACAGTGACATAAGTTTTCTCTTAGTCATATTTTTGAAGAAATAAAATAAAATTTAACTTGCTGCTTTGATTTTAATACTGCATGCAAAATTTTTTAATTCTAGTGAAAACATAATTTCCACATATGTAAGTATACAATAAGCAGATAATTCATGGTTATCCTGAAATAAGCAGATAATTCATGGTTATCCTGAAAAATGCTTGATTTATTAGCTTGTAGGGCTGCCACATAAAAATAAACAACCAATTAAATTTGAATTTCAGGTAAACAAACTATTTTTTAATGTAAGTTGCTCCAAATATTGATCAGGACACAAATAAATTTAAAAAACTTATTTTCTCTTTACCTGAAATTCAAATGCAGCTGAGCCTCCTATACTTTATTTGCTAAACTGGTACTTCTATTAGTTTGATGACAATTTTGTTAAACATTAAAATCTATTTGTATAATTTCTAAACTGTTTAGCTCAGAACTCGGCACATCTTCAGCACTCAGGACACAACATAAGGAACTCTGGTTCAGGTTTAGAATTGATGTGCAATGAATTAAATTCTGTGGTCCACAGGTCATTTACAGGGAAGGTCCATCCAAAATTCTCTTCGTACACTCTGAGAAGCCCTTTCATTTTAGTCCTTGTATCTTTGGGGTTCTTTAGAAGGCAGACATTCTCATAGGTTCATAGATTAGGCAGCCATTTAAATCCAGATTTTTTTTTTGGCAGTGCTGCAGACTGACCCCAGGACCTCACAGAGATAGCCAGGCACTCTACCACTGAGCAACACTTCCACCTGGAAATTTCTTTT